ACCTAAAAGCTTAAATACTTCGGTTTTGTGAGAAAATTGATTTTTTGAATACATGTTCGTCGAAAAATTTGCTACTTTTGCTCATTTTTGCGCCTTTATTAAAGTCCCTACAAAAAAATAGTAAAAATGGTTACAAGAGTATGAAACTTTCAGCGTTTATAGTAAATTTCATGCACCCTTTAAAATATGTAAACATTTAAATATTTAATCAGTTAAGTTTTGTAAATAAATCGATTTTTCAAACCCTTATTTTTGAACAATGTTCGATGAAAAATTTCTCTACGTGTACTGTAGTTGAATGAATCAAAATCGGTTATATGTTCGTATTATACACCTTTTAATTCGTAAATTATCTATAGTTTTATCAAAATTGGTATCTTAATCATAATCGCCAATTTTTATGGCACTCTCTATATGAAAATACGGTGAAAATTTGCTTGTATTTGAGCTTTTTCATGCTAAAAGTAAACGCTGAAGTAAAAGTTTCAAAATTGCAGAGTTTATAGGAAATTTTAAGTACTTTTAGAATATACAAGTACTTAAAGGCCTAAATATTTTGGTTTTGTGAGAAAATTTATTTTTTGAATCCATGTTTTTGAGCATTTATTGGATCGTGTTTAAAAATAATGCTACATCTCGCAACGTAGTTGTAAAGTCAAAATGGAATATAGTTTCATATTCTACATCTTCTAGTTAGTTAATAACAATGGTTTTTTTCAAAATCGGGGTAAAAGTCGCCAATTTTCATGACTATATATATATACTATATTAGGGTTCAGAACCGGGAAATACCGACACCGAAAGTACTGGGAATTCCCGGTTCTTTTGAGACATCAAAGAGGGGGACTCGAAATTACTAATAACTGAATAGGAAATCCGAAAATCTGTGCGGAAATGGTTCGAACTAAGGACAGCTAGAAATTAATGCAAATTGGGTCAGCAAAGAGAGAAATGATAAAATGGATAGAGCAAATAGTAAAAAAGCATGGCTTCTTGAGCAGTGCAGAATGGGTCCTGCTGCAAGCTAGTGCGCGACTGGATATCTAGGCTCTCGCGTTACGGTCGGCAGGTCCGCAGCAGGATTGGGGGCGTTTTGCAGAAAGGACAAGGGGGTCCTTAAAGCCGGGGTTCGGTAGACGCGCGCAAGATATCGACCAACTGGATAGCCGACACCCTTTCCCGAAACGCTATGCAATACCATTTAGTTATTGCACTCTCTGAATAACACTTGTGTTACGTTTGGTAGTGTACGTTATGTAATAATATCATTCTTGCATACTTAATTATTAACAATAATTGCTACTATTGTGGTCCGTTTGCAATAGCGTTTGATAATTCGAAATAATCAGTTCGTTTTTTGCCGGTTTTTATTCCTCGGTTAGTTCGATTTGATTCTCGTACCCCTAGGTTGGCTTCAATAATCCGCAAAGTTCGTAAAGTATATATGTAATTTCAAGGTATTTCAGTGCAATCCCCTTTCCAATAAAAAAGTATATATATACACATATATATATCTTCGGTCTTAACTTTATATACTCGTCACTCTATTCATATTATACGATACTCATACAATCATTTTATTATTCCTACTGTCGTTTTGGGATCTAACGAACGTTTTTTATAATATTTACACAAGTTTTTTGAACGAAATACCCCCAAACACTTCGCCAGTAAGGTAAGTCAAAAATATGTTCCTTTCTCAACCATATTTTCACCTAAAAAATCATCTCTCGCATGCTAAATATTGAATAATTTTCCATATATTTTAAAAACCTCATTATTTTTGAATTAAAAGAAAATATCTATAGGTATAAAAAGCAATTTTCTTGCTATGGCTATTTAACGTGGTGATGGTATTTAAGACGAGGAGGGTAAACGGGGTGTTGCGCGGGGTTACCCGCCTAGAGGGGGTGTGTTCTGGATCAATACCGGAGCGAGCTAACGCCGGCCAATACCCAATTATAATTTTCGCAGATTCCGCTGTGTTTTCGCATTTTCACACGCTATTTTTCCTTCGTAAAAGGAACCTTCGCATCTATTTGATTTTCATTAACCGTTTTATTTCTTAAATTTTTTACATTCTTTATATTAGCAAAACGATCCAGGATTTCAACCACTACTTGGTTCTTTTCATTTATGCTTAATTGGTCACAAACAAAATCAATGCCAAGCTAGAAAGTTTTCTCCGAAGGCGAATAGTGAAACTTCTAACAGTTTTAATTTAAGTACAATACGAAACTTTTGCGCGAAGTGTGCGAAACATTCAAAATAGATTTCAATTAACATTTTTTTCCAGTACCGCATATGTAAACTTTAACAGAAAGAAAAAAATGGAACAGAAATAGATCGCTATTCGATCGGTATGTTTAAATTGTTAGTGTTTATTAGAATTTTTACTCGTTTTCGATACATTGAAACGTGAAAATGGAAGAATTTTAAGTGAAACTGCATCAATCCATTCTTATTAATAAATGATGAGATATAAGAAAATAGTTCTTTTTGGACCTTGGGATTACCATAATAAATGTAGGGAATTTTAACCGTTTTGTCGATATCTTTTAGAAACAAGGGTTGGAAAAACAGAACAAAGACATTTAATCTCTTATACGTTTATATTTTCTAAAAGTATAAAGAAAATCTATATATGTAATATGTAAGTGCTAGGATTTTTAAAATTCTATCCACACCTGAACTAATTTCACTTTGTAAAAATGGTCAATTTTTTATACAAAATGTGGCTATTTTGGTCAATTCGCCGATTTTGATGAAATTGTAGTTATTAACTAATCAAAATACTATGTACAATATAAAAATATAGTCCTTTTTGAGTTTACGAGTACGGTGTTACATGTCGGGATGTTTTTAAACACTCAAAAATTGATCATAAAGAAAGGTTCGAAAAAGGGACATTTTCGCAAAACCAAATCACTTCAGTCTTTAAAAGTTTATGTATTCAAATAGTAGATAAAATTTTCTATGAGTGTTGAATTTTTGAACATTTTTGGTCCACGGTTACTATTTTTTAAAAGCTCTAAGTATGTGTCAAAAATGTCCAATAACTTTCTATATTCGCTCGAAAAGATGGGTACGAAAAATGGACTTTCTCACAAAACCTTCTCCATTTAAGACTAACTGTTTTTATATAATATATTCTAATAGCACAAATTTCTAATAAATGTAATTTTCAAAATTTTAGATCTGCGGGTAATATTTGTTAAAAACTCTAAAAACATGTCAAGAAATAGATAATTTTTGACTTTCTATACTCGTTCAAACCCAAGGGATCGAATAATCATCGAGTCTCTTTTAAAATCTTAAAATCCTTAAAATTAAGATTTTAAATGCTTATATATTCTAAAATATCATAAAATGTCATGCAAATTGATACTGATATTAGTTTTTAAATATTTTTTCCCTAATTTTTCGTATATTCATATATTCATGTCCACGCATATATACGTATTTGGAGTGTGGTGTGAACACCCTGTATAATGTGATATCGTTTTATCATTAGTGAGTTTCGTACAATGCCTTTTACAAAGGGGAAACTGACCCTTATATGCAGAGGGTGAAAAGATTTTTAATTTTAGCCTTGTTCTTTGTAATGCATGTGATAAATAATCTATATCTATACATATATATTTTTTGATCAGGGGAAAATAAAGTTAAATTTTATTTTTAAATTTGTTATATATTCTTTTTATTGTTGGTCAATTGAAATAGAACAAAACTGAAAATGATATCATTTCAGTGTCCTATTTAATTTTGTTTATTTGCTTTTATACGGAAAATGATGTAAAACATTGTGTTGTTTTGTTATAAAATTTCAGGCAAAAGCAAACTGTTTCTGGTCAAAATTATTTAAATTTTCGGTGCCGCAACTGAAAATATCTGTCTGGGAACACAATGCCGATTTTAATAGCAAGGGGTAGTTGCAAATGGCGTGCGCTATATACAGGGGTTGTAAAGAGAACTGACCATATGCCGCACGCGCTCGCTCACAATGCATATTATTAAAAATTGAAAACTAGTTTTTATTGTTTGCCCTTGTATATGAAGCGTATAGCCTATTCCTCAATAATTTATTTTATAAGAATAAAGTTAGAAAAGAGAAGAGTTTAAGAAGAAAGTCTAAGAATAGAGTTTGCTCATACTACTTTGTCTGTTAAAAATGTTTTGTTTTGAATATAAGTTAATTTTTTATTGAGACAAAATTGAGTTGTTAAAAAGAAACAAAACTTATAGGAAATTTTAGGTATGAAAGTGATTGCGACATCTTAGAAGAGAAAAAACTATAATCGCCTGCTTCTATCAGTGCAAGCAAGGGATGAAATCGCTTTCAAAACAGCTGATATATCGTACAAAGAAAATTTTTAGGGGGTTGGCTCTCCCCTACCTAGTTTTTGCCTAGTCTGCACCCATGTCTAGAGTTGAAAGTTAGGCCATTCACCCTAGCGCGTCACACAAGATGACTGGGGGATTATATTATATTGCGATCATTTCTCATCAAATCGTGTCCGAAACAGATAGTAAATATTCTGTTTTTTTTTCTTCGCTCAATAAAATAAAGAATTATATTATTAAAAGGCTGCAGGCTCAAGTAAGCAAGCCCTCTAAGTTGCTTTTAATATGAACAATATGTTCTAGCAATTTTTGAAAATAATATGTAAATAAGCATCTTATTTATTAGTAAATGGTAGGATTTGGTTAATACTAATGGATAAATGTATATCTCAATTCAAATTAAACCAGGAGCGCATCCGCGCTTACCCTGATTTACAGGAATTTTGATGTACGATGGTAATGAATCAAAGGTGCGAATTATCGATTTGTATTCCGTGGTAGACGTGGCGCACGTGGCTTTTCTTTAAAAAAACGGCAAACTTTTTGGTATAAAGGAAATTCGCTGAAAATTTAAAAATAGAAAACATACAGGGTAGCGGGTGTGCGCATGACCGATGGGCAAATGAAATGGGAGCCTATGTTTTGGGTCGCGCGGCGCTTACCGTCAACAGTGCGATTCCAAACCGAATACGGTGAAGCTGGTGCCATTTTAGTTCGATTTTTCTTTTTTGTTTTCGTTAGTTTCTTTTATTTTCGCTTCTAGTAGCTTAATTATTTTTTTCCGCGATGACCCAGTAATAGTTCCAGCCCTAGCACTCCCAGTTTTCCTTTTCAGTTCTTAGTGAGTTTTTCTAGGTAAGTTATATGTAACAACATTTGCTCTGTATTATTTAAGAAACGTCACGTTGCTAGGTATTCGGAAATAATCGATACAAACAAAATAATTAGGCGAATAAATCAAAATATGAATGCGCGCAACGTTAATTTTACCCGGTTTATATTAGATTATGTGGAACTTTACTTGCTGTATACTTTGCCTATATTTTTCTAACAGAGCTTCCGCTTTCTTAAAATTATTTTTAGCCCGAAGGAATCACCGACAGGAATTTAATAAAACACCACGAAATTAACATTGATTTATTCTTCCGATTACAAAAAAAATATTAAATCATTTTGCTGGGTTGTTTGGTTTTTGAGAGAAACACTAACTTTGTGTATTTGTTTATTGTCGAAGCATACCCACGCATGCAAAGGAAATTAACAATTTGATTATAAAAATAACCAAGATTCCTAATTTAATGTGATTAAGCAAATATTTACAATAAAAAATCTTGCAAAATAAATAGTTTTTGTAAAGGAGAGACCTATAAAATTTTGCAGATTTGTATATGCTTCTTTAAACTAAAATAGATCAGGGATCTATAAATAAACTTAAAATATAAATTTATACTGTGCGCCTACAAGGAAGATTCAGTACTTCATACTTAAAAATATTTAACAAATTTAATTTTCACCCAACGATTTCTTTATCTCAAAGGCATGCCACTCAATAATGAGGTAGTAGAATATTTTTTATTTTCTGTGATAGACATAACATCCAATTCAATAAAACTAACCGCTTTCTAAAATGTACGACAGGCGCCTATATTATTTTACCAATATTGTGTTTTTTTTTCAAAAATAAATTTGAACTAACGCTGGTTGGCAATGAAATGCTAAACATCGAATTTGTAACTGAATTTTTATTTAAATGCAACACAATGTTTTATGCTATTCGTGCTCTTAATTAGATACTTGTTTATTCTGAAATTACTATTAATTATTTACTTGTCGCAATTTTATCAATGTGCTATACAGGTTGTCCCCATTCAAGGGCGCTCAATGTACTAGAGCGAGAATCTGCGATGCCCACTTATATGGACACGCACTTTTTATTAATCATAAATCATAACTAGGTATATTTTATTTGTTTGAAAAGTTCTATATCCTATATATAGCTTAAGTGAAATAGCCAAGTATTTGATAAAAAATTGGCACTTGGCAGCATTTTTGACAGTATTGCAGTTTTTATTACTTTAAGATATTATTTATTTAAAATAGCTATTTTAGAATTATGTACGAAATTAAGGATATTTGAATTTTTAGACTATGTAGTTTTTAGTTTTATTTGTGCAGGGAGACAATTTTAAATTACAATGCATGGGAAAACTGTTTATTGAAAAATCATTGTAAATTATGTTTATGATTGATTGAAAACTTGTGACACAGAACGTTGAAAGGTGTATTATTTTACATGTTTGTTTCATCAAATCAAATTTTTAATGTGTGATTTTTTTAGAAAGTTGCTAAGATTATCTATGATTATGAGATTGTTTCGTTTAATTGCAGATATTAATAAAAGGGACACCGAAAAGTACCAGCTAAAGCCGTAATCGACCAGAGAGGTCTTGGGATCGGCTGCTCAAAATAACCGAAACCCAAACGATCTTGCTAGAAAGCAGCCTTTTCTTGTTGACCCCGGTCCAATACAAGCCAGCACCATTGAAGACTTAATAAAGAAATTCTCTATCACGACTTTTAATTTGAGTGACGAAAAACCAGCCACGGCAAACAAGAACATGATGTCCAACGGGCTAGACTCCGGTGTTGGCCAGCAGAATGGGAGCAGCAATAACGTGGGCGGTGGCCAAGAGGAGTCCAAGACTAACTTGATAGTGAACTATCTGCCTCAGACGATGACCCAGGAGGAGATCAGATCTCTGTTCTCCAGCATTGGAGAGGTGGAGAGTTGTAAGCTGATCAGGGACAAAGTAACAGGTATGTAACTGTTTGGACACGACATTATACAACGATTTTTTTCGAGTCATTGAAAACACTAAGTTGGACTTGTTTCAGTGTTTAGTTTCAACCTTTTTGCGCTAAAGAGAAATTGAAAAAAGGTTTAAACCAAACCACGTGGTTTTCTTGTCAACAAAAAAACAAATTCGTAGTCCAGTAACGTATATATTCAGATGAGGGGAACGTGGGGTGCTGAAAATGCATCCACCAATTTGTTATTGCACTAACTTGTTTGAGAAAATTGAAGCTTTTCTAACAAATAATTTTGTGTTTTAAATCAGATGTTATAAAAAAATCTACCTATATGTAAATATTTTGAAGGCATTCTTTAAATAGCTGTTTTAGTCAAATATGCTCCAAAATCTTTGGTAAAAAACGGATTCCTTGACTTTTTTTTAAAATACCTGGGTTATTTTTAGAACTTAAACTAAGAAATAAACCCGTTTTGTCCAAACTATTGCCCCATATAACTTTTAACATAATTTCGTAATACCCAAAAGAGTAAAATGCTTACTTCCTTTTTGTTTAGATTTTGGTTAATTCAATGCTTTCAGAACAATTTACTTAATTGCAATTAAAAATAATTTCTTGTTGTGTCATACATGTGAGTGCATATATGAAACTGTATGATAAAATTACCGAAATAATAATATATTTAAAAAAACGTAGCAACATCAGGCCTATCAAAAAACTGTCATATTTTAAATATAAAAAAGTTTGAAAATGTTTTTATTTTCTTCCAGACAAATTACAACCTCTAAATGTTGGATCTGAAGACGAAGGTATATCAATAACATTAAAGATTTATTATAAATAATATAGGGGGATGAACTAATATTGGAAATTATTCTTTTTTATACATATGTGCTAGCGTTTAGACCAGGGCGATTGATTAATCAAAGAAACTTTAAAAACACCACGTATTTAGAAAATAAAATAATTTACTAATCAAACACTAACTTTTGGGAATAATCTGGAGTATAATAAATAGTGGAAATTGTGCGCAATTGTGCGAATAATATATCCAAAATTACGTAGTTTAGTTTGAAACCTTTATGGAAAACCGAAAAATGTTCGGTTTATTGTCAGAGTATCTGTAATAGTGTAGGCAGGGTATTCTAAATAAAAGTTTCGAAATTATCAAGTTACAGGAAGTGATGATACCCAGTGATGTGTAGTAAACAGTTTATTGTATACAATTCTTACCGTGATTATACCTAACCATTTTATACGTTTCATTTCTAATCTAAAACATTCCCAGCCCTTTTTTATTTAGCATAATTATTTAAAAAAGATAAAGGGGCATATATACATTCTCCGTTTTTTCTTTTTTGCTTCCTACATACTCAAAGCTGGCGTGAAGAATTTGGCGTGGATTTTGGTAAACGTATCGCACAGGATATTTCTTTTGTACCACCCTTGTGGATATATAAAAAAAATGACTCACCTTTTCAATAGCACGTGTCTAGGACCCTCCTAATTTTAGGGGGAGAATATCATATGGTCCTGCGCAAAACCAGAACCGTATTCTGAAAGTTTTCGTGGATTAATTTCAAATGGACAGGGCCGTATTTAAATTTATTTTCGATTATGATGTACAAGTATATATTAAAAAAAAATTAATATTAAGTAAGATATAGAATATGACTTTTGATATAATCGTATGAAATACTATTGTCAGATAAAATTTTGTGCGAAGGAGATGTTTTGAAGAGCGGCCGTGATCTCTTATAGTTTAAAAGGAGCGGTTCTTTGCAATCTGACATTTATGATTTGCTATATTTTATTGATTTTGATTTTTTTGTAGTTCCCGCTTTGTGTAGGACTATATAATTTGTTTAATTGCGTAACTTATGATTACACTTGTTTAATTAATTCATTTTTCACTATTTATTTTCCTATTTATGGTATTAACCCGATATTAACTTATAGTTTTCGTATTAATTTTCATTCTTGCTACTAATCATTTGAAAATATGCATTTGTAATGATTCCTTTCTGTAATTTTTTATGTGTTTTTTCTTAAATTAAATAAATAACGAAGTTACAAATGCATATTGGGAGCTAACAATTTTTAACTGGATTAAATTTGTTTCTTTTTGTTTTTTATTTAGTTTTATTTTTGTGTTATTAACACGTATTTTTTCGAAATTGGATTTCCCACAGTTCCTGGGGTTATCACTAGTCCGTTGCTTACAGGGCAATCACTGGGCTACGGATTTGTGAACTACCACCGACCTGAGGATGCTGAAAAAGCTATCAATACTCTTAATGGGCTAAGATTACAAAACAAAACCATCAAGGTAAGTTGTTTTTTATTGGGAGGAACTCAGATTGGGAATCGTTTAAATCTATGTTAAAAAAGCCTATATAAGTCTAAGAGCTTATCACCCTTAAGATGTACCATCTAAAATGAAAATATAAGTGTTTTTTAAAGAAACATGTGGTCAAGCTTGTTCCCAATCAGAATTCTTTTTTTTATTTTTTACTATTTTTTCTATTTCTATGTGTTCTTTATTCTATGTTGTTTGCTTTGTTACTTTTAGGAACGGGAAATGTGATTTTTCTTTTCTGATGTGTGTTTTCAGTTGAGTTTTTCACATTTTGTTTGGCAAATCGGTTGCAAAGAAAAATTCCACGGGGGAATGAACATACAGACAGACTATTCGGCGGGTCCGTACTCGCTTGATTAATAATGCAAACGACACTTGCATTTTGGCAGCGATTTCAAATACGCGAACTCCGTTTGTACCTTGCATGCCAGGACCGTGCCTCAAACATTATCCGCATATTTCCTTTAAATAGTTCAATCATCTTAACCGGAATACTTTGCGAATAAGAGACAGCTTGGTTCAATCTTCTTGCGTAATTTACCACAAATATACCTTTTCTCATCCCTGTTTGTAGCTAGACGTGTAAAATTATATCTAGATGAGTTTGGTAGATTGGACATTTTTCATTACTAAAATGTTACTTCATCAAATTAATTTATAATCCAAGCAGCTGTAAGGTTGGATACAGTTAATCCGAAATGAAGAAAAGTTTTCCAAAGCTGAATCGATTATAAATTTATTTTATATAGTGTTGTACTTAGGCTTAATCTCATTCACCGACTTTGTTTAATGATAAATAATTAAACACTTACATCAAGACCTTTATTTCAAGCTTCTTGTTCAGTAAGAACATCATATCTTCGTGTTTGATTATTTTTTTTTAAATACAAGTCATATTTCTAGAGTATTTTATGTTGAAACTCCGATGTTGCAATACTCCCTCGTAACTGATATAGTGTTCGAAGAAAATCTGGTAACTGAGACTTTTACAGTTAAAAATATCTCGGAACAAATGTGAACGAGACTTGAAGAAAGGTTTCTGTTTTTTCAGGTGTCATACGCAAGACCTAGCTCAGAGGCAATCAAAGGGGCCAATTTGTACGTTTCTGGACTACCAAAAAATATGACTCAGCAAGACCTGGAAGCATTGTTCAGTCCGTTTGGTAGGATCATAACATCGCGCATTCTTTGTGACAACATTACCGGTAAGTAGAATTGTCACAACGGTCTTTAACATACTATTTCAGACATCAATTCGAAAATAACGAATAAAAATCAGAATTTCAGTATTTAGACACAAAAATGATCTGATTTTTATTTGATCTAAAAATGGTTTTGGGGAATAAGGTGACTTAAGGACTTTTCGTCTTAAAAACTTATACCCTGCGACCAAAAATAATGCGTAAAGGAATATTTTTGACGTACACTTACGATAATACGAAGAGGTCAAAAATATTTGTTTGACTATTTAAAATGAAATGCCACAGTCACAGTAACATACATACAAATACATTAACATACTTTTTATTGATTATGTTATAATCAGTAAATGTTTGGTTTCCTTATTATTATTTTTGAATGTCGTAGCTTTGATTTATTCATTATAATTTCTCATTCAGAGTTACTGTTGAAATTTGGCCTCAGAAGAGTTTCTGTTCGGACGGCATCTTTCGCGGAGATGTATCCACAATTGATGGTAGCGTTTTATTTCTATTATTTTATAATATAATACCAGCCATACATTTTCTTTTTGTTCGTGGGGATGATAAAAATTGAAAAACAACAATGGCTGTTTTTTTCTTGATGGCGCTACTGAAGTTTAGAATACAGCCCCGCGGACTGACGCCGTTTGAAACATAAACCTAAGAAAAAATTCAATCACTTTTTTTTACTGTTTACCTATATTTTCCGTTTTTCTTCTCTTCCCTAGTACGTCAATTTGTCTCGGGGGCCGGAGAAAATTTACCTGGTATGTACCTATCTTTCTACCATTAACACCAACTGAACACCATACCACTAATACCAAACCACTTTTGGTTGTTCTGTTTAGTCCGCGAACTCAAACATTCTCGCTCAAAACAGCAATTCTCAATCGGTTTCCAACAAAAAAAATCTAACGAAGAAATCTAAAATATAATACAAAAAAAAACTAAACAAAACCGTTCGTCCCATGCCCCAAAAATTGACGAACACTTATTCCAAATTTGTGTTTATAATATTTAGTTCTTTTATTATTATTTAATTAAAGCTTACATGGAATTTTTTTCTTATTATTTCTGCATCGTACGCATGAATTTTAGTTGCTGTTTTTTAGTTTCTTATTCGTTGTCGTATTTTTTTATTATATTTTATTTGTAAGCAAAGAGCAGAGCAATCACAACACTAACACGACTCACACAGACACTAACAAATATAACATAATCGTATTTTTGGAAGAATCGTTTAAGGAATAAAATAAACATCCAGAGAACAAATTTCTATCTTCAAATGAAATAATAATCTTTCGAAGATGACAGTATGTAGTTATGGCAGAATCAATGTTTTTTTCCTTTAAAGTTAAAATGTCGTAAGTCCAACATTATTTCCTAGTTGTCTGATTTAGATTTGATTTTGTGGCAAAAATAGCGTCCCTGGTTTATTAGTTCTAGTCATTATTTTACTTGAGTTTTTTGTTTTGAATTTTAGAAACAGAAGTAAATGGCCCTAAACTCGAAAATCAGACTTCAAGTAAGTAATTTTTGCATATCACTATTGCATATTTAAAAAAAATATATATATCATTGACAGTATTTATTTAGCTTTTCATATTCTTTTGTTGTTGTATTTTTTCATTCGAGGACTTACAACCTTTTACTTAACAAAAACAGTGCGATTAAATATTTTCTTTAATTACCTAAAAATATTTAAAAAAATCATCTTAAACCATTCTTTCATAAATATGTATATATATATGGTGAAGTTTACAATGGACCACTGCTAAGGCTACTAATCGAGGCTTCGTTTGTCCACCCTGTAGGTTTGTCGAAAGGGGTTGGCTTCATTCGATTTGATCAGCGCATGGAAGCTGAGCGTGCCATCCAAGAACTGAACGGCACTATACCAAAGGGATCGACGGAGCCCATCACCGTCAAATTTGCAAACAATCCCAGCAACAATAACAAAGCTATTCCTCCACTAGCAGCTTACTTGACTCCTCAGGCAACTAGAAGATTTGCTGGTCCTATACATCATCCCACTGGCCGCTTTAGGTAAGCTTTTAATAATTATTATCACATTAGTTTACAGCAAAATATATCATTCTTTATCCAATAAAAGTCTGGAGCGCTATACTTTATTAAAATTAGATTGGTGGGTGTGGAGTTGTTTGCTGAAAGAGTGTGTTGGTCTTAGTCTTGCTGTTTGTTCCAAGACCAAGACCGGATAATATGACTGAGTTTGACGCTAGGTCGGCTATATTTTAGTGGAGTTGTTTACTGAATGTGTTTGTTTGTTGCAGGTATTCTCCGCTGGCCGGAGATCTCCTGGCCAACTCTATGCTGCCCGGCAACGCGATGAACGGCTCCGGTTGGTGCATCTTCGTGTACAACTTGGCTCCCGAGACCGAAGAGAACGTGCTGTGGCAACTGTTCGGGCCGTTTGGCGCCGTCCAGAGCGTCAAAGTGATCCGAGACCTGCAGACCAACAAGTGCAAAGGTTTCGGCTTCGTCACCATGACCAACTACGACGAGGCCGTGGTCGCCATCCAGTCTTTGAACGGTTACACGCTGGGTAACCGGGTGCTGCAGGTCAGCTTCAAAACGAACAAGAGCAAAACAACATGAAGCGACGATTCGTGGTAGAGAAGCGTAGCGGGGCCGCGCCCCCCAGCCCTAGCCGTCACTTAATTTATTCTTATTTATTGATCGAGGGGCGGCAGTCCTAAACCTAGGTAATTCGACGGTCGGTCGGTTGGGGCGGCGCCGCTCACGCATTTTAGTACTTAAAAATACGAAGCTAGTCAGAAGTGCATTAGCGTTTCCTACAGCAAACCCTATTCTCCGCGTTACGATGATTGGTTAGGGCTAATTCCATTAAAGGTGCAAAAATACAAATTTCGTCCAATAAATAAACACAGTTAAGCATTCTATGAAGATGCATTTCAATTTGTCGAATACCTACCAGAGGGGGCTAAAAAGAATACTAAAAACTAAGTATTTATGGCTTGCTTAACTATATTTATTTAGGGTCGTATTTGTAGATGCAAAATTATCTTTTGTTGATTCAAAACCAAAATTTTAAATTTTTAAATCTTTAAGAATCTACTTGCTGGAATTGGCCTTAGTAAATGTAATAATTGTGCCATCACCATTCTTTATTTCCGTGGGGAAGCAAATTCCTCTCAATTTCTATAACGCTAAACAATATATATATATATATATATATTTATATATATTTACGAGATAGTATTTATTCATTATAAAAGAGAAGAAACTTTTCTTTTAATTATTAGTTAATTCGTTTCATTGTACTACTTTTAGTAACTTATGTATTTAATGTAGTGATTTATTGTGTAATCTTATATTCAAACTAGTCGCGTAGATTGGCCGGTACGAGCTGGCCGGTTTTTCTTTGTCTTTTGTATCGTAATTTTGTGTTCGGCTAACGCGGGGCGCAGCGCCAAGGGTCGCGTCTAGTTTTGTGATAGCATCATAGTTTTACTAGTTCTAGTAACGCAGCCGCGATCGACTGACTCCTTAAAGTAACAGATTTGACAGCCCTTGCCGCGCGCGCCCGCTTTAAGTTCAGGACCACTCGGTAGAACCGTAGTTTTTTTTCATTTGAAACCATACTCGCACAAACAGAAAACTCCACTCAGCTCTCTGTCTTTTAATTTGTTTCCGTCTCCCCTAATTCTATCTATCCATTTTTTTAACTAAACGCGCTCATTGGAATTCTGAAAATTTGAGAACCTTAGACCGAAGAAATAAACTAGACACGCTTTTTTTATCTACATCTTGTAGCGAACATAAACCGCGATCTGACGTCACGCCAGGGCAATATACATTTTGAGAATTCTACATGAGAAAAAAGCAGTGATTATTTGTTGCGTAACTTTGGAATTGTATTGCAGTATAATTACCAAGGGTAAGCGTCGTGCTTTTCTTATCCGATTTTATGTTATCTACCTTCGGTGAGTTTTCAGTTTATGCGCAGCGGTGTAAAAATGAGAGGGTTTATGGACGATGCGAGAAGCATTTTTTGCCGAGTGGCCCGTCTGTGTGTTGTGTTTATTTCACGTTTTTATTATTTGATGACAGCTTTTCTTTCCTGACATAGCGTGGTTTTTGCTTGAATGCCATCAAGTTACGACGGCAATGCTTTCTTTGGCGAGGCCACAACGACACCATCCCCTTTCCAAGTTTAACTTCCTCGTTTTGTCCCTATTTTCATTTCGATTATAATTTTTTAGTTCGACATCTCGAATATCCCGTTTATTTATTTGTATAATTTATTAGTTTAGTTTTATTTATGGCGATTTTTAATTTTGGTTTATGATTTTTCTATTCTCAGAATACAGATTAAAGTTTATTTATAATTTCTGCCTTTCTTTTGATTTTGATTCTTGTGTATATCCCGCAACCCTTTCTCTTTTGTTGTGTGTCTAGCTGAAGTCGGTGGATGACTATTTTCTGCGCATCCTGCACAAAGCTACCGTTGTTTGGTAGCTTAGCTAACCACTAATCAACCACTCTAAACTAAAAACACTTTATTTTTGTACAAAAAGAAAATCTAAAACGAAACTTGCAAGAGATATAGCGTAAATTAAATTAAAATTAGATCCACTAACGCGTACCAAACTCCGTGTTTGAAGTCATGCTTTTCGTTCAAGTGTTTTATATACAGAATGTTCTCGTTCCAGGACAAAGCAATTTTTTTCGATAATTGTGTAAAAGAATTTCAAAAAATAACTGTTTTAGATTTTTCACGAATGAAATTCGCCGGAACATTTTGTATATTATTGCGACGTCTGATGATAAAAGAGCAAACGCACACCATCTTTTGACAGCGCAAATATACGAAACTGTACATACATAGAAAAATTATAAGTTTGAAGTTTGAAGCGAAATAAATAAGCAAATAAGTACAATTAAGAAAAGTCATTGATAGCTTTAACATTAGGCGGGGGAGTTTAATTATTTACTCCACACTATCTTTAGACAGGGACTAAGTCTGGAAGAAAACATGGTTTGATGATGTACCTCCCTGTCTAAAAATAAATCCGGCGAAACTTTAAAAAGTCGAACGAAAATCGAGTCTTTTCGTTTCTCCCGATGATGGTATAGCTAAAACGGCATAACTAGACCTGGGTTTATACGTCGATATCGATATTAACGCGCAGCGAACTGCATCGACTAAGCGTCCAGGTCGATACGGCTCCGGGTAAAAAGCATTAAAAGTAAAAAAAGTATTTATAACACGGAAGTTGTTTGTTCAAAGTTTAACGCAATAAAGTTTATGTAAGTACATAAATGTGTCATATAGGTGCAAGAGAAATCAAACAAAAAAAAATGTTAATAAGGACCATATCGATATGTGATATGCCGATAATTTAAAAGTATTAAGATGTATGTACGTCCGAATAAAATATAGTTAATAATAATATACGTGTATACTATTAACAAAGAAAAAGAGAAATAAATAAATTACGGGATTTAGCAAATAATACGTTGTTACAGAAATAAAGCCTACTTTTACTGGTATTATCGAACCAGTTCACTGAATTATCTGTAAATAATTACCAAAAGAAGAGACAAATGTCGTATTTTTTTCTGGGAAATATATCGCGAAACGTATTTCGAAGTTTGTTGGATCAAATCGAACCGAAAATATTGCCGCTATTTTTCTAGATGGTCATTTACCACATCGAGGTGAAAATTGTAGCTAATCGATAAACCCAGGTCTAAGGAAATCCCCGAATTTCGGGAACTGACGCTTTCGGGGCCGGATTAAGGCAAATTTTAAACCGATCTGACGCCTAGAAAACAAGAAAGTTAAAAGAACATATTATGAGAAAATCGAGCTCTTGAAACTTGCTTGATCCGCCTCTGGAACGCGTTATTATGACGCCGACACCAGCACGTTTAGTAGGGGTCAATAATGTACAATCTCCGCCTATTCAGGACACAGACATTTCACTTTAAACCGTATTGATCGAACATTGTTTACCAGTATATACTTGCGTGGGTTGGTTTGTACAAAAATAAGCAGGCTGGTTTGGGTAACACCCACACCTCCGACCTTGAAATTGCAACCCTTAAATCCGATTTAGCTGTTTTCTTTTGCTATGTACCGATGTATATCTTCAGAGAGTGTAAAAAATAAAATAGTATAATATTATAAGCTGTTAGCGCACAAACATTAAAGCACACACACAAAACACTATTTAAAAGGGAGAAAACTATTTTCAATGCAAAAAAAGATTTTGTTTCTCCGAAAGTGTTTTTTATCTTTCGGGAAAATTGTTGTTAGGGTATTTTTAGATTGAGGAGTAATTAAAAGAGGTGCTGTGTCACGGGATACTCTATAGAGAGATTTAAACTGGCTGTGATGAAACAGATTAGTGTGAAGTAGGTAAAATAATTGTTAACACTGGTAACTTTAGGCAGATGTTGCCGGAAATAGATGAAAAAATATGCGTGTTTTCTTTTTTAATTTTGTTTCGACCAAAAGTGAAATGTCTGTGACTTTGATTGGGCCAGGGGAAGAAATAAAAACAGTGTTCAGAGCACAAACTAGTGACGTAGGACGTAGTAGGTGAATATTGGTTACTCAGGCCTAAAAACGAAACACGTGTAGACTAATTCCATTTACAGAACAACGATATTTCCATGATAATTATAATTAATTAAAGAAAAAGAATATGTCTGTCGGCAATGCTTATTTAAAAATTTTAGCCTCTATTTGACTAGCGTTTGCTAATAATATCTTTGCTTAACGTTTTTCATTATTACTGGTTGATTATTATTATTGACTTCGTGTCGTTATATTGCGGCGCGGACACTATCTGTATTTCTACATAAGAGTTATCTTTGTGTGTTGTGTAGATCTCTAGCATAAGTGTATTATAGTACATTACATATTCCTATTGGTTAATTTATCTATGTGTAGCAGTTGTGTTGCGGGCAAGGGTTGTATGAAGCCTGCGTGGAGGCGGATACGGCCCTTGCCCTGGTCGGGCCCGTTCTGAACAGGGCCGGCCTGGCTCCTGCGCACGGCAGGGGCCATAGCTCAAAAACATTGTTGTGACAAGATGCATTCCATTTTTAAAAGAAAACCACTAATTGATATTTACATAAATTATTATATACTCATGCCTATATTCTATCTGTTTTGATAAAAATTGTGAATGCAAAGTTATAATATGTACAGAAGTTTTATTATTAGGAAATACAGTACCTCATAACTGTAATTCATGCAATAACTTAATATAAGAAAGTTCTTATTACAATATACTTATAGCTTTACTAGTTTTAAGAAGCGAGGTATCATGATCTCTTTTGACCTCCATTTTCTCACACATCTTTCCCATCAACGTCAACTCTCCATTAAAATTCGAACGAACAAATAAATCAAATCCTATCTGTCTTGTAAATAACTACATAATTTCATTGCGAGATATTGAATTCTTTATTTAATACGCACATAATACTGTAAAAAGTTCTAAAGAATCAGAAAGATGTCTTTGAAAATGGAGTTTTAGAAACCTGGAGGGGAATTTCTGACTTGAGCATGCAGATTTCTCCTGTTTCCTCCTTTGTACCGCGCAAAAAAAACGAGTTTTTCGTTTTCCTAAACAACTTATTTAAAACCGGTCGCAAGGGGGTGAATGACATATCAACACAACGCCGATTTTTGACTCTAAGGGCTCTGCATCCGATAGCCCCAAACGTATCAGTTTTACTTCGATCAGCCATACGATAACTTCATATTATATTCGTTAAACAATTACGTGCACAATTACGTACATTACAAATACATAATAATCTCGTCAGTTGATAACAAACAGATCACTAATAGATAGATAGAAACAAAATATATTATCGAATTGCTGATCAGAATATAGTGTCAGATTTCTTATATAAAGCGAATTATTTATTAAACTTGTTACGAGTTTTAAAAAAAATGATAAAAAATACTAAGAGAAAATTTAACAAATATCATTTAAAAAAAAATTTGCAAGATGTGAAAAATTTATGAAACAATTATTATGGGAGGTTGAAGGGGATTCATAGTTATTTGACACTAATCGCCATAAACAAAATGAAATCATGAAAAGTAGGTACTTATTGGTTTATATGAAAACAAAACGATATGCCAAATTTGCTAGAAATTGTACGTATGTAAATACACAAGGACCAGATCAAATACTAAAGCACATTTTAAAAGGAAACTAAGATATTTAAGAAGATATATATATATATATATATATATATATATATATATATATATATATATATATATATATATATATATATATATATATATATATATATATATATATATATATATATATATATATATATATATATATATATATATATATATATATATATATATATATATATATATATATATATATATATATATATATATATATATACATATATACATATATATAAAATATGTCTTTATATGTAGAATTAAAAAAAAAACTTTTCATAAATTGTCCAAATTAAAGACTAGCACAATGTGTCAGAATTATTTAGAGAGAAAATGAAATATTTAAGGCATGCTTGAATAATTTGAAAGAAAAAATAAGTGTGTTTGATTGGATTTTCCTTAAATCTCCTTCATGAGTGCTGGCTCTAGTAGAAGAAAGAATGGAGGATTTTAAATCGAAAAATTGAAATCTAATCCCCCTCAAACGAAATGACCAGTAATTCAGGGCTATTCGATTGCAATGTCACAGGGTCCTGAACGGTGAAGTAATATGAAACCCCGCTAATGAAACTGAACTGATTCACTCATTACCGGTATTACTTATTACATTAATTACTTATATATACCAACCCCTAACAAAAATTTAAAAAAATATTCAATGTGCTAGTAACTAAGCTACACTATGTTCGACCACTCTTTCGACATACCAAGTACTTGTCGAATAATTGGAAACTTTTTCAGAGAAAAAATCTCACGTAGTATTTTCGTTTTGACATGATCACGAGAGTATTATTTGATGATTTTAAAAGGGAAAAGTTAGAACCTAAGAAACTATTAAGTTCTATTGCGTTCTTTTAGTATAATATTCATTATTTTAGCGTTTATGTATGTCCTTCCTTGCTTATTGTCCAAGTGTTACACTATGCTGCATTTGTGTGTATTTATTGTCATTAAATGGTTACTTATTGTATCAAATACACCTATTTATTACTGTATCAGACATTTATAGTATTAGTTTCGTCGCTTAGTGTAGTGAATGAAAAGAGTGGACTTTAATAAAAAATAAGAAAAAATAATAAAAGAACAAAGAGGTATAACGTTTAGGATTTGTTAAAATTGGGTTGATTTTTCCTTTGGTATCGATGAGCTGAATAATGTTCGGTTTCGGAATGTATTGTAAATGTCGGCTTTGGATTTTTTCAAACATTTCAGAACCAGAATGTCGATTACACCAGAAAACGGACTGTAAGTTAATATAGTAAATACACTGGACCCAGCTAAGTCAAAGATATTTCAAATTTAGACAGAAATCTGGCTCGTATATGCACATTTGCGCTTTTGCGCCTGCATAATCATTCGTAGCTGGGACAGTGTTATGCAATATTTGTACTTTTCCATGTGGACAACTGAATACAATAAAGTATGAAAGCTAAATTTAACATTTGCGTTTTATTTTGTTTTCTCTAAAAATAGGTACTTAACCAGTACTTCCCCTATATATCTATCGTAGGGATAAACCTTGGATAAACCCCCCCAAAAGACTTGACTCCCCCTAACAGGCTGTGTCCAGTTGCGCCCCTGCAGACAGAGTATAAAATGTACAAACAAGTAAACATATAACAAATATCACAAACGAACATCTAAATTGCTAATGATTACTGCACTCTCTGTAGCTTCTAGGAAATCATCAAAGTAGCCGGAATAGGGTCCTATAATAGGTATGCTTTTACTATGTGCCGGATAGTTTGTCTGTCGGTGTTGCAGTCGCATTCTGGGGAAGTTATCTTTCCCCATTTAAACATAGAATAAACGTACCTCCCAAGATTTGTCCTTATCCTGTTCAATGCAAACCATGTTTTACGTGACATGCCAAAGCCTGGGGGTTCTGATTAGTTCTGAGTAATAGCCGGCATATTCCTGGCGTGATCTGGCAGCTCCGATTCCTACTCTCTAATGCTCATTGCTGTTGTTAATGCTGGATGTCCTGAACGAAGCCTCTTTCTAACCAGGTCATGAACATCCAAAAGTATGGGCAATTGAAACGTGTTTATTATTTTTATTCTCTAATAAGTGTCTGCGTAAATGTGGTGGAGAATTACGACGCATTGTATTGTTCAATTGGACGTCCACCATTCCTGCGTGAGAACTATTGAGCTACACCGGAGCGTAGTACCACAGAATATATACAGGTTGTTAATTTGTTTATTACTCGGGGCAAGCGAGCTTTATGGTTGAAATATGGCAACCTGGGCCCGCTCGTGTCGAGCCGGCAGAAAACCCTATAAGTGCATGCGTTCTCAATAGGCAGTATTGCCCATTCTGTTCCCCTATAAGTAACTGTCCAGCTAACAACCTGTATACGCAACTAGATATTCTGTGGTAGTACTAAGCAGTAGAGTCAACCAAACCCAGCGCAGATGAGCGCAAGGTACAATACTCGACGATCCTCACGTGGTGCCGCATAATTTATGAGGATATTATCATAGATAAAATATTATTCCGAGTGTTGAGCTTAGCTGCAGCTTGGGTGAGGTGCTTCTTGCAGGACAGGGTCCTATCTAGTGTAATGGCTAAATATTTTGAGGTGTTGTTGTGGAAAAGCCAATTACCTTCAACTTCAAACCTTATTTATTTAAGTTCTTGGTTTGGTAATTTATTATGAAGATCAAGAGAAAGAACCAATTATTATTATAACAATTGTTAATGAAATAATTATTTTAACAACCAATTTATTATAAAGATAAGAAACAACTAACTTCCGTCTTTTAAGTGCTCGCCTGTAACCTCTCCGTCTCCTCGAGGTGTTTCGTAAAAAAAAGTTCCCTGTTAAAAGTCCCCTATTCCTATATAAAATTCACTAAAAATTGCAGCAAAATCCGTCTTATCCACTTATATTTGCTTTTTATTGTCATTATTGTTGCAAATCCCGCATTTTTTCATAGGCTTTTTACACAAATATATAGTATTGCTCTAATTGCTACTGACGTCTTATCCATTTCAAATCCATACCTAATTTTAATAAAACAGCATATAATATAGTATACCTAATAATTCCAAGTTAGGATGCAAATATCTTGCTTTTAGCAAAACCCGCAAAATCAAACGCACACAAAAAACCTGCCCATTAAGTTGAACCATTGTTTTGTATCTCGTTTTTCTAGAAATAAAAATGAATACTTAATTTTTAAAGACAAAAATAATTGGAATAAGGCGGGTCAGTGCCTTCTATTAAAAAATCAGCCTACGGGTGAGATTTATGACGTCACGCTAGTTAGATATAACGGATTAATAAATATGTTGTAGAATACATGGAAAACATAATTATTCTTCAGATTTTTGGTTTGTATTTTAAAAATGATATAGTTTACATGAAATATACATAATATACAGTTAATAACTACAACATATATACCTATTTATAGTAATAAATACTTTGGCAAATAAACTATGAACCATACAAATGCAGCAAATGTTTTACAATGTACAAATAATATATAGGTACATAAGATAATGGGTAAAATGTAAATATATTTTAAATTTTGGGGTTTGAAAATCGATCTAATTTAACAAAAAACATTCAATATCTACTAATAGTAATGTATTATTGCATTCACAAAATTTATATGTATATTTTGCAAGTATCAATGTTCGAAAAATTATATTTACAAATAATACAATATTATCTAAAAAAAGGCGTCAGCGATGGCTATGAAATGAAGATCTGGCATTTTATATGTAAAATTATTCTAAAATTTTTGATTTTCTTGGGATTTTTAGGTTCGGGAAATACGCTGATTTAAGTTTTCATTTGGGTTTTCATTATTTTTATTTGGTTTAAAAAAACGTTTCGGCTAACTATAGCCTTCATCAGTGTTGTGCAATGACCTCTAAATTAGATGTCATTGGTGTTGTGTCATATGAGAAAAATAGTGTCAAATATAATCCAAAAAATTACATATACAATATAATTCACACCTCATAATGTTTACTGCAATTAATAAACTAATATAAACTTATCAAAAGATGACCACATATTTTTTTAAATTATTATTCTTAACACTAAAATTATCTACATTGACTATGGAGTACGCAGTAAACATTATGTGCGTGGTGTGAATATTTTATATGTAATTTTTTGGATTATATTCGACACTATTTTTTTCATATGACACAACACTGATGAAGGCTATAATGTTAGCCGAAACGTTTTTTTTTTAAACCAAATAAAAATAATGAAAAACCAAATGAAAACTTAATCAGCGTTTTTCCCGAACCTAAATCCCAAGAAAATCAAAAAATTTAGAATATTTAGAAACAAGGTTCAAGAATATCAAATTTTCCAAGATTGTAAAATTCTAGTTAATTATTTTATGTGTACAGTTATTTAGGGAATGTCATCGATGTTCATTTCAAGCCAACTAGACGCCGATTTTTTCGATGATACGGTATAACTCTTACGTAAAATGTAAATAACATTAGACCAATTAAAACAAAGAAATATGAATTTCTTAGTATTTTTAGTAACACCTTTATTCTTAAAACTTAATTTTGTATTATGCAAATATACCAATTTTATTGTAATTTTATTCATATTGTATTCAGCCATCACTTAAATATTTGATATTAATTTGGTATTATAAATAATCAACACTATTCATTACTTATTACTAAAAATTACTGAACAAATATATGTTATGCTTGACATACATTATATATTATCAAACAAAAACACATTCTTCTTTTAAACTGTATCAGTCTTGTCTTTACAAAAATCTTTTTTAAAATTTGAACTCAAAATAATAATCTTTTTCATGATCTTTAATACACATATTCTTTATTTTTCCCTAGATCATAATACCTACTTACATGTTTATCTTACGTGTTTGAATCTATCGAAGCTGAACCAACAACACTTGGAGTGGAGTTTCCACAATATGAATAAAATAAACATAATTGTCCAGTTTTCATTAATACTATCATAGGAGAATATTATTTTTAAATTTATTAAAGATATTTTCAATAGAATTCTCTTGATTTATAACTCGTACCCACTTTTCTTGCTCTTCCGGACACTTTAGGCTGCCTAGTATAACTATCCTTTCCACCAGGAACACAACAAAGATGAGGCCATAGCACCAAAAACACACTCCACTTAAGCTTTATTGATGAATTGTTAGAGTCTTAAAAAACACACACAAAAATCACGATGAGTAAAAAATGTATGGGCACTTTTAGGTTAAATCACTTACACAACGTGTAATTTTTCAATTTTCCTATCTTTTATGCGAAACCGAGAGTGACCATATATCTGGTAGTAGTTTATGTCACTTAAACACCAAAATAATTAGTTTTTTGCACTACAATAATAAATAATACCAAAAATCATAGAGTTAAAACCAAAAATCAACCAACAAAATATGAAACGGAATCTAACCCAATATCTAAGTATGTACAGCTGATGAAGTAAACAAAAGTCCGCCCCCAGGCTGATCTTTTAAAGAACGGCAGTGGGCGGGTTATGTTGCACTATATGCATCATACTGCAACAAAACCCGCAGTATCCAAATTATTTTTGTGTTATTTCTCTTTAAAAATTAAATATTAATTTTTATTTCTACGAAAACCAGATATTAAACAATGATTCTACATAATGGACACGTTTTTTTATAAAATAACGCTTCAAACATTTGCTAAAACAGTTTTTGCGTATTATCTCGAAACAACGCGTTTTTGGACGGGTTTTGCAACTTGACGCCTCATACATACCCATTTATTACAAGCCAACGAGGCTCATTTTTTTTTTATCAAAGAATCACGTTTTTTCGTTTTTTTCTGAATAAATCAAAAGCCTTGACTTATTTTACCCTGTTTTACCCCTTGTTCCCCTATTTCGGTCACTGAACTTAATTTAGACCGAATTTAATTGTGACCACTGCCGCCATCTCGAGAATTATACCCAAATCAGTAATATTTTCCGATTCAGTGTTCCAACCATGTTCCAACGAAAATTAATTTTCCTTGTTAAGAAATCTACTTCAAAAATAATAAAGTATGTAAATTTTTGTTTAAATTTGACAAAATAAAGTATTTTTGATTTTTCTGGTTAAAAAAACCCATAAAATTTCCGCTCATTTTGGCGCACTTTTGAGCCCTCTTTTTAGCGCTCTTTTGAGCGCGTTTTTGTAATAATGTAAGATTATATAATTTGTGACTATATTATGCTTATGCACAGGCTTATGTATAAATAATTTTAATTATCATTAATTAGATAATAATGCCACTGGTGAACTGTTAAATCTTTCAATATTCAAAAAAGTAAAGTAAATTAAATAGTACCAACTAATTTTTTTTAATGAAAAATAATTACATAATTTTAATAATTGCGTAACATAATTCAATTCTAATTACTTAATATTATTATTAAAGATTTATTTTTGATCCCCAGTATTTAAAAAATACGCAATGTATTCAAGGCGTTTATAACATTCAGGTTTCAGGTGCTAGTTATTTGTAAATTTTTACAGTTCATTTATAGAATATTCAACGGTCTATTCAAATGAAAATCAAATCTGTATTAATGTTTTTAAAACTAACAATTTTAAAAGAATTCTGATGGTTAAATATTTATTTATTTCTTCCTCAAATACCGTGATTATAAATAACTTTAAAAACACGTCGAGCTGTGGCAGTAGTCCAAGTATAAAAAGAAAACAAACAGACAGTCCTGCCATCTCTGAGGAAAATTCACAAGTAAAACCGATTGAGGTCTCAGAACTAGTTAACTGGAGTTTTACTCCCAGCTTTCCGTCGGTTTAGAATTAACAATTTGACTATAATAAAGTGTTAAATAATAATGTTTATTATTGTGAAGTGAAGGAGTATTTTGTGGTGGAACAATGGGTCTACAAGCGACCCAAAGAACTTCATTGTGGCCTGTGAAATAAGTCAAAATGATGGCGTCTGTATCGGGTTGACAAAACAAATTATTTACAGTGTGAGGAATAGTTTAAGAATATCCAAACATTCTAAGGTGATATACATATTATTAAGGGGCATATACAGAAATTTATTGAATTGAGAACTCTTATATTTATCCTATTATTCTAAAATTTCTTTATTTACGTCAAATGTCAGCTAAAATGGTGTTGACAGTTATGTCATTTACAATTGTTTTCCTGCAAAAAAGAACGTTTATTATTTATTTTCAGAGTACAAATCCCAGTAGTAAACAACTCTTTATGCCCTAAGTCTATTGGTGTTTAATTATTTGCTAGAAAAACGAGATTTTTGTGAGAGGTTAGAATAAACTCTGATATGGACAGCAGACACAAGCCCCATGTTAAACCTAGTTTTGTGACATAAATAAATGCCATGAATACAATATTGTTGTTTAACATGGTTTTTAGATAATTCATATTTTATTTTGGTGGCGATGGATTCAGGAATACCTCATGTACCCATCACCACTTTAGCTGGTGTTACAAGTCTTACAGACTGTAAGGCTGCTTTGCCTGCTGAATATAGCATTTTAAAGGGTAAGATATGTGATTTATTTTACTGTGTTTTGGTCTCTATACTTTCAATGAAAGTGTTAATGCTTGGATTTCACTCAATAAAATTAAGTTATTATTCTAGTTCTACCAGAGTTGCCATTACCAACACCTTCACCTCAAACCATTAATAATAAGTCATTACTATTTCATCCAAGGGTGGCTGAGGAGGCACAAAATTTGCTTGGACAAAAAAATGATGTTCTTGTACCACTGCTTGTAGCTTCATTAGAGAAAACTTCAGCGGATCATATGTATGACTTATTTTAATATTTTATATATAAACAATATCCACGAAAGCATCTTTTTCTTTTAGAGAGGTGAAAGATAATTATGCTAGAGCTGATAATAAGCTTGAGCAACAAGAAGGTATGCCAGATTTGCTAAAAGTTATTCTTCATACAAATCCTGAAGTTTTTAGTGGTCAAAAAGGTAGGAGATTGTTCCTATTAAGTCACGTGTCTATTATGTATGCTTATTATTGAATTTTTAGCTTTACAACCAAGAATTGCATTACAAAGGCAATACCAGCAACAGCAATATCTTCGCCAACAACAAGCTTTACAACAAGCCTCAAGCTCTCAGCAACAGTCGCATGGATCTCATCCTGTTCAACAACAACCTCAGAATCCACATCAAAACCAACAGGTTCCTCTTGTGGCATTACCAGAACCATCTAAACCTCCCCAAGTGTCAGATTCACAATCAGGGACAGTTTTAGCACCTCAGACAATTCCCCCAGTTGTTAAGGAAAATTTGGGTAATAGTAATATTCCCACTTCTGTAATACAGCATTCAGACTCTATAAAACCTCATGAGGTTCAACAAGAAACTCCTAAAATAAATAACAGCCATACAACAGATATGAGGGTACCTTCTACAGTAGCAGTATCAACATTACCCCAAGTTTCCTCAACAGCATTTAATACTTCTCCTTCTGTTCCATCTTCCCCAGTTTCTTCTGTAACAAATTCCTTAACAACATCCATTTCTACGCCCTCAGTTCCTAGTGGCTCAACTCATACCACCACAAGTGAGTTAAGGTTACTAAGAAGGCCTTCCAATAGAGGTAAATTAAATATTATTTACTGTTAACTTGTTCTAACTCTTTATATTACCAGGCAATCAAAATACTACGCCAAACAAGGAAAGCACAAATTTAGAGCCCACCGAAAAAATGAATTTAGATGACAATCTTGCTAGTTTTGCCTTCCCTGCTGAAATGACCAAAGAAGATCTTGCTTGTATAGAAGGGGCATTAGAAAGATCCGAAAGTGAATTTAGTTCAGGAATAAAGCAACCAATCATTAGGTTGGGAAGGATATCAGAAGCGGACCAAGCATTAATGCAGAGAAGTTTAAAGGAATTTGTTGAAACAAAACCTCAGCTGGCAAAGGAGCTAGGAATTGAACTAAACAAAAAAATGGTTAATTATAAAGAAACATCAGATTCAGAAGACGAAAGTGGCGCCTCAAGAAAGAAAACAAAAAGGAAATATAAAAATAGTGAAGATGAATTTGAACCTGAAGATGATGCTGATCCTATGGACACGTTTTCTGCTTTAGTTGGTAAAAGAAGGAAAGTGGCCAAAGAAGAAACTGAACCGGAACCTTTTGTACTTACTAAGCCCAAGTTAAGAAGGGTAGAACGTAAATTTGTACCAGTTTTACAAAAATTATCAACAGAAGAACTGATGGAAAGCAACACTTACGTGCGCTTTAACAAATCTGTTGAGCATGTTTTGCGGTCAGGTGAAGACATTGATTTTTCGGAAATAGGTAATTTTTGCTCCATACAAGTATTTTTCTTATTGATATTTAAAATATTTTTTAGCTGCTGATGACATGATCCAAGATGAACATCTTTTGAGCCGTTCTATCATGTCAGAACTTTGTACTGAGGCAGCTAAGCTAAAAGTTTTAGGTGCTTTAGAAATGATTCCAACTGATAAGCTCACCAGGTTACTGAATATATTGGAACTAAATATTAGGGGCGGTGATAGAATATCTCCAATTACTGATGTAAGTTTGCTTTTATAGTAAAATAAATATATTCTTTCTTTGTTTTAATATAAACATTATGTTTTAAAGGAGGACAATGAGAGCATACGTCAGTTTTGGCTAGAGACAACTATGGAAAGGGTTATGGGCGCTGCTGATGCTTGTTTGATCTGCATGTACATAATGACATCTCCAAACATGTCCAAAAGAGTATATCTTGAAGAAATTATAGACAGGGTCGTTTTGTATATCAAATACCATTTGGCTAACACAATTTTTCCTAGTTTTGATTCTACTTATAAGCTTGATAATAAGAAAAAAGATGGTAGGAGGAAGAAAACCACACCTGCCTCTGGCAAAGGGATAAACAATCTGTATACTAAAATATCAGAACTTGTTAATTTACTGTCAGAGTTGATGAATATTCAAGTTTTGACGGATACTTCTGTTTTACATGCATCTTCTATGGGCATCAGTCCATTTTTTGTTGAAAATGTTAGTGAACTTCAGTTGGCTTGTTTAAAACTGGTTACAACGGTAAGGGTTATTGAATGTTTGTACACTTATAATTAATAACCTGTTTTGTTACAGATATTTACGCGTTACGAGTCCCATCGTCGGCTCTTGTTAGATGATATTTTGGCATCCATAGCTCGTCTTCCTAGTACAAAGCGCAGTTTAAGAACATATAGGTTAAACAGCGAGGAACACATTCAGATGCTTACCGCTCTGGTCTTGCAGCTGATACAGTGCGTTGTCGCTTTGCCAGATAAGCCAGGGTCCAAGAAAGATAAAGAGAAACAGGAAAAACAACAGGTAGACGATGATATTCTGATTTGTAACAAATTCGAAAAAGCCACCTCGACAGCCGGTACGTTTTTAACCGTGTTCCTCAGCAAATGCGGTAATAAATCGGAAGAAATCGACTACAGGCCGTTATTCGAGAATTTCGTCCAAGATTTGCTGTCTACTGTAAATAAACCCGAATGGCCCGCGACTGAATTACTCCTGTGCATTTTGGGCAAGATGCTGGTACAGAATTTCTCAAACAAAGGCACTGATATGTCCTTGAGGGTGGCCAGTTTGGACTACCTGGGCGTGGTAGCCGCCAGACTTCGCAGAGACAGCGTTTTATCCCGCTGCAAACTCAATTCTATCGATCAAATGATCAAAGACATCAAACAGGAAGAGATGAAAGACAATGATCAAAATCCGAAAAAGAAACAAGCTAGCATGTCAGAGGACGAAAGAACTCAATTCCTACAGAGGATCCTGCTGGATTTTTTAGCGGTCAATTCGCAGAACGACGAATCCTGGAAATTCGCCCGACATTTTTACATTGCCTGGTGGTACAAGGACCTGGTCAGCGAGAAAACCCAACTGGCCTCAGGCAACAAGAAAAATCCAAATCAATACTCCTCAAAGCGAAACGGAAAGTCCAGCGACAGCGAGGAAGATTCGGAAAAGGAGACGAAAAATAGCGAACAAGAAAGCGCAGAGAGATTTCGAATTGTTGAAGACAAGAAGAAAGTTCTCCTTAATAAAATAAAACCCTTTCAAGAATCGATGTCTTCAGGAAACCGCGTTCAAGTTTACCAGACTTACATTGATTACAACAGTGCCGAGCTCATAGCGCAGTTCCTCGCTTCGAAAAGATACTTTTCTCAAAGCTTTGACCAATATTTAAAAGCAATTTTAATCGTTCTTAAAGAAACTTCAATAGCTATTAGGACAAAGGCCATGAAGTGTCTCACTATGATCGTGGAAGCCGATCCTTCCGTTCTGGGAAGACACGACATGCAAATGGGTGTGAACCAGTCGATCCTCGATCAGTCAACTTCTGTAAGAGAGGCTGCAGTGGATTTGATTGGAAAATTCATTCTAAGACGGCCGGAACTCATTCATAAGTATTACGAGATTCTTTCGCCTCGAATTTTGGACACTGGCGTGAGTGTGAGGAAAAGGGTTATAAAGATTTTAAAGGATATCTGCGTGGAATGTCCAGAATTTCCGAAAATACCTGAGATTTGCGTGAAAATGATCAGGCGCATCAACGACGAGGAAGGAATTAGGAAGCTGGTGATGGAAGTGTTCCAGAACATGTGGTTTACACCAACTAAAGACGACGATTCTCTAATTCGGAAGGTAATGCACATAACTGATGTGGTTGCTTCATCTAAGGAGATCGGTCTTGAGTGGTTTGAACAGTTGCTTTTAAGTGTAAGTATTTATTTTGTATAATCATCTTATGCCTCGTCTACACTTAGTTAAACCGTTGTACCTATCAGTTTTACGTGTCTGGTAAAAAATCTGTCTAAACCATCTAGAAAAGTTCTCAAGACGCGTGCATACCGATGCTCAGAAACATATCTAATGATTTTATATAGTTATCTTTCCGAAAAAAAAAACTTAGAAATAAGCGTCTTTCGACCGTAATTTTAATCCACTAGACAAGGAAACGCGGACCTGTATCTTCGATAAATATGGCAACGCCGCAAGAGCACACCGTCGCATTTTTCTCACTCCGACTTAATAAGATTCCCAAGCGATTCACTTCCACACATGTAAATACGGACCCAAAAACAAGACTTGCCAGCGCGGTATAATTATTTTGAGCATTTCGACTACAAATGCGACTACTGGATTTTGTATAGTCTTCGGCAATATATGTGTAAACGGGGCTTAAAACTCTAGCATTTGTAATTTTCAATGACTTACTGAACTAGAAATTAATCTGTTTGTTTATATATTTGTGTTTTTTTTAATTCCCAGTTGTATAAGCCAAAAGAGGACAAAGATGATTCGACCAAGATCAATACTGAACCACCAAAAGCTTTGCTAACTGCTTGTAGGCAGATAGTAGATTGCTTGATAGAGAATATCCTGAGGCTTGAAGAAAGCAGCGCTCATACTAGCGCGTCTGAAAGACTGGTAGCTTGTGTTACGACTTTACAGTCTTTCGCGAAAATTCGGCCACAATTACTTATCAAACACGCCAGCACCCTGCAGCCCTATTTAGGGCTGAAATGTCACACAGAAGGAGACATAAAAATTATAAGTTGCGTGGCAAGAATGTTGGAATTGGTGGTGCCTTTAATGGAGCATCCAAGCGACTCGTTCTTGGCTCAGCTGGAAGAGGACGCTATGAAATTGATTCTGCAGTACAACAGGCCTATAGTGAGCAGTTGTTTAAGCTGTTTAGGCTCAATCATCAACAAAGTGACGCACAATTTCCAGTTGATACGTGACTGCTTTAAGAGATTCAATTTGATGCTTCTAGAATTTAAAATGAGCCTGGAAACATATGATTTGGACTTTCAGAAGAACCATAGGAACAGGGTTCTTTTGAGGAGAGCTCTTTTTGTTGTTGGGCTTTTGTTGCGGCACTTTGACTTTACGGATCCGGCGGTTCTTGGAGATCTTTCTGTAAGTTTATTTTTATTTAGTTTGAATATTTACAAACATACTGTTATTTCAGGGTGATACAAAAGATCAAGTTTACATAAACCTAATGTATTTCTTGCAACAAGACAATGTAGATATTCAGTCAAATACTCTCAAAGCAATCGGTAGTATTTGTATAAGACATCACGAATTTATGTTAGAACCAGAATTAAAGGAATTCTACCATAGACAGCTAGTCATAGATGACTCCCCGTTGCAAATGAAAATCGACGTTTTAATTAATATAGAAAATTATTTAGTTGAAGAGGAAAATAGAATGATAAAACAGGATTTAGAATGTGAGTGTCTATTTCTATTTTTGAACAATATATTTGAAAAAAAAATTTGCAGGGTCCAAGAGGTCTAAAGAAGAAAACCTGAAGGAGATGAATGACGTTTCTTCCGGAATGGCCAGCACTGTTATTCAGCAGTACTTACAGGAAGTGATGAAGTGTTACCTCCACCAGAGTCTCCAAGTGAGGCAGCCAGCTTTAAAAGTGATCCAGCTTGTATGTAACCAAGGTTTAGTCCATCCAGCCCAATTCATCCCATCGCTGATATGTATGAGCACAGATCCAGAAAAATCCATATCTCATAGTGCTGATAAAACCTTATCAGACATAGAGAAAAAGTATCCTGGCTTTGTTCACTCGCAAGCTTCCCTGGGAATCGATTTGTCTCACAAACTTCAAAGAATCATTAACAATGACGAAGTCGTGAGAGGGTACGTGGTCAAAGAGAAAGGAGAGTATCCTACAGCATTGAATGGTTTCTTGTATTCTTTGTTGAGGAACTCCAGACAACAAAGACGTGCCTTAATCCTGAAAATTGTGAAGCATTTTGATGAACAAGCTGTAAGAAACTTCAGAAAACAGCGTTATTTTAAAACAACTAATTGTTTGTTTCTTGTAGCGTTCAAGCTTGTCATACATGTTATACCTGGCTGATAACCTGGCATATTTTCCTTATCAAGTACAGGACGAGCCTTTGTTTATTGTACATCACCTTGATTTAATGATCTCCAATTCTGGAACAAATCTTTTACAGTCTTTTAGAGAGGTATTTGTACAAACAGTTATTTCTCAATTAGCTGCCATGACTATTTTTAGGGTTTAATATCGGATACGCAAAACAGGATTTTAGACACTGAAAATGGTGAATTGCATAATGTTGTGTCTGCTTTGGATGAGGATGACGACGAAGAAGCTCTAGCAGCTAGAGTTCCTGAGAATTCTAGTCATTTACAGGCCTATTTAACCGCTGCACAAGGCTGCCTTCTGCTTTTAATGCTTAAACAGCATATTAAAGACGTCTATGGTCTTAGCGACAGGTGAGTGAGTCTGGAAGCTGAAAGTTCTTGATTTTTTTTCTTTGTTTTCATTTTAATTTGACCTGACTTGACGTGGACTCGACCAAGACTGTATTTTTTTCAGAGTTCTTTTTCTGTTTGAACCTTTCGTAATATATTGTTTTATATACAAACTTTATTTCCAGCAAAATCCAGCTTTATTCACCCTGCGAAGCGGTAAAAGTGTACGAAAAAACCATTTCGCGTAGATCGAACGCTTTGTTTAACCCTAAAACGACACTGCAGAAACTGAAGGAGGGTTGTCCTCCAGAGTATTTGGACGAGGAAGGACGCAGAGATCTGATTCGCCAATATTTAGATGTAATGATACTTCCTAACACTCCCTCCTACGTGGGCGACGAATGCGCGCGATACGACCGCGTGTTTATCATAAAACGTCTTATGAACAATGAATAAGTTTGTATGAAGCCTATGAATCGGCTTTAACGAAGAAAACGTTTTTTGATAAATCACGGCTGTCGTATCGCTCGTATCGTGGGCATTCGTCGCCCACGTAGGACGGATTGTAAGATTGTAATTTATACCCTTTTAACGAAATTCTCTTTCAGTTTAAGCAGCTCATGTTGCAATTGGACCCTGACGATGCCGAAGAGGACGAGAACAGAGTCTTGACAGCTTTAGGAGGAAATGCCAATCCCGCTTTGAATCCTGGCGCTCCTACGGCGATTCTTACTGAAGCCGACCAAGTGGTGCTTCAGAATTACAAGGTTTGATTAACACGATGTCTGATCTTAATTTGGGTTAAATTTCTGTTTTTATTTATTTCTTCCTAGGATCATTCACCTCCCAAAGTCCCCAAAATGGTGATATCGCATCGAAGATTCGAGAGCGAACCGAAGCGGACTCCTCGCAGTCACCGGTCTTCGGAGAAAGCGAAAAAAGTGCGTCACAAAAAGAAACGCAGAAAAATCACCAGTGACAGCGAGAGCGACGAGAACGATTTCAGTGATCCGGACTTCTTGGTTTAATTTAAGCTTAGATAAGGTAAAAAGACGCGTCGAGTGTACAGTGATCATTTCTCGTTTTATTTTAGTTCAATTCAGCACTATATCGTCGGCGTTTTTATTCAAAGTCTGTTGAATTCGTGCGGTGGTGTTTTAGTTCGTAATCGGCACTCAGAGACGCTTGTATTAGTGGTTATAATTTATCCGATCCTCCTATTTTTGCTTGCAGAGATCGTTACTCACATTCTTATTATAAATAATAATAGAGTAAATATATTTAATGTGAACCTCTCTGTGACCATTTGTATAGATTTTTTTTATGCATATTTTTTTAAAGAAATTTAACTTCCTGGTATATATGCCACAAATAGACAAGTTCAGAACTAGAAAGAATGTTTCTTATTTTTTTTACGTGATCATCTTGTAATCAAAAAAAAAAATAGTTATCTCAATGAATTTATTTATTAATTAGGGTTCTTGTATTTTTGTGGTGAAATTTGTACCGGTTTTAAATAATTTGTATTTATATAAGTTCGTTCACACCTTTTTAACTCTAGCAGCTTTTCAAATTATTTGTCTTTTTTTGATGAGAAAGAAGTTTATAGAGGAAGGCATTTAAAAAGACTCTGGTTGCAGGTTTAATTAAAGTTTAGAAAATACTTATTTATTTTTCCCCCGTTTATTTTGCCACGTTTCACTTTTGTCTCTGTTCTTTTAGTAACCTGTTTCAAATTTTGAGCTGATATTAAAAATATATCGTTTTGAAAATAATTTTTAATTGAGCCTCGCCTATAAAACTCAGGGTTGGGCTTGGGCGTTAACACGGCGTTTACCTTTTGGTATAAAATTCTAATAGAAAGAATTCTTCCTTCTCAGCATATACCATGCGATCGAAAAAATAACGCGTCGGGATGGCTTGGAAATGAAGAGCGCGACAATATGTTTAAATGTAACACATTACATGTAAAATTATATGGACCGTCATTTCCAAGCCGATTGCATGTCGTTTTATTTGCTAGCATACGGTGTTTTCTATCGTTTTTGCTTAAATTTTGATTTCCGCACAAAATAAAACTATATTTATTATCATTAAACTAACGAAATGAATAAATTAAATTATTTGTGTTTGCAATGGTCGTTCATAGCGTTTTTAGGGAAGCTTTGCCTATTCTGTGACCTAAGTTAAGCCGTGGCCCAACATAAAGCTGGTAGCGTAGCATAATGCGGAGAGCAGTGCGTACAGTGTGAACAAATACGCGTCAATCTGCAATACGCTACGCTGTATTCCGTTATTGTATCATGACGCTGTATGTGGGACCACGGGATTCGACGGTCGACGGGATTAACCCCCCCTCCCAAACATGCTACCTAAGTTAAACTAGTTTTTGCATTAAAGTTTTCTTTACTGGCTCATCCCTGATAAAAACATTAAAAAGCATTTTGTGAAGCAGCAAAACGCTTCCTTGAGGTTCTAGTTTTCCGTTTAGTTTTTATTTTTTTAAGTTATACGTTTTATATATTTTTGTTCAAATGAAATTAACTGATTATTTATAAGCGTTCCTTAACAACCCATAAGTACAGTTTTTCGAGAGCAAACTAAATATAGTATGTTTAGTTATTTTTTGGGTAGGTTTTAGCCGTTGGAAAGTCAGTATTATGTTACGTAAATGTGATAAATATCAGCCTTATTTGTGCAATGATTTATCTACTGCAGCAGGAATTTTTGTGAAAATCGTCAGAAATTTGTAGCAGGTTATTATCTGTAGTTTATTTATAATTATAACCTTAGTTGTGAGTTGTTAGTGAATGTGTAATAAATATCCTTTAACGTTGTTTGATTTGACCATCTAGGATTATTTTGTAAATTAGTCTCTATGTATATTTGGTCAAACAAAACATCTGTTATTCAGGGTTTTCCATACTGTAAAACTCCCAATTTGTATTTAAATAAATTTATATTTCTAAGAATACAAGGCCTTTTATTTTATTTTAATAAAAAAAATAATTAAATAACCTATTATTTATGGAGGTTGTATTGTGTGGACTATTATCTTATAATGTATTAAAAATACTATTATCTATGGAGGTTATTAAGCCCTCCATACGCTCCATACTACCTATTATCTCCATTAAGCACATATCTATTAGAGAGATATAGACATAATATCTATTATCACCATTTTATCACAGATAACATCCTAGAACTTTTAGATGTATATAGGGTTGCCTATATGTAAAGTAGCTATTATATTATTTATAGGTATAGACAATTTTATAATTTATTATTAACTTGATCAAGCGATTTTATTGAAAATAAAAAATAAACAAATATATATATTTGTTTAATTAACAAGATTTAAATTAACAGATAAAATAAATACACTTTCAAATCATTACATGTCGATAACATCAATTGCATTGATATCGACAATGATTCGATATTCATTTGTTTTTCACGAGCGTCTCCATTTTAGTTTTCTTGACGTCTTTTGGGGTTTCGCTGATATCTCGAGTTAAAATTTTGCAAATATAATCTGAATTTGATCTCAAAAAAACTTATTAAACCAACTAAACTTATGTAAAACACATTTCCGTTATGTAGAACGTTAATTCGAATTGTTTCGCGTCCGTTAACGGTTTGATATTTTTGTTTTCGGGAGTGCAATTTTAGGACATACGTAGAACAAGGTTTTTTAATTATATCGCACTAATTTACTGCATTATAATATAGAAAAGTTTCGTCATTATTATCTTTAGACACTGTCTTATTAGGGGCGAGATCTGGGACCCCGCGCGTCGCTCGCGATTTTTTTTGTGTAAAGGACGATTTTGAAAATTAAATTCCAAGTAATTCTGTTATTTATATGGTAAATTACAATTGTTCATTTGCGGTAATAGCTTTAGCCCCAAAACTGATAAGTAAGTGCGTGACTATGTGTTAAGTGGCGTGTTGGTAATATGGTATGGTACAATACTAGGATTGCGAGTTGCAAAATGGTGAATTAGGTAAACCTATGCCTTAGTAATACCCGTAATACTAAATTTGTCTATAGTTTAATTTATTTATATATAAACCCCCGAAAAGTTAGCAAAAACATATTTTGTACAGTTATTTGTCTGTAAAATACTATACCTATGAGATTCATGGTATAGTATTCATTCATCAGATGGTATTTTTTTTTCTTTTCAGTTATTTGATCGAGCCTAGGATTTGGTGCTATTTATTGAGTATTTGTTTTACTTCTTTAGTATTATCCGTATTATCCACAGGTATTATCTCTTTACCAAAATAAATCTTTTACTAAATAAATTAGTAAATTTAGAGGATTGCGACAGGTTGAGTGTTTTTTGTGTTGATTAAGTTTTGCTGGATTTTGGTTTTATAGGTAATCAGACAATGATATAGGTATTTATTATTTACTTAGGCTTTTAAGCCCTCCGTAGTATTATTCAAATATTTTCTCTTATGAAATTGCCGTATTCAATAAAAATTAATTCAAATTTATACATTGTTACCAATAGTAAGCACATTTAAAGCCAAATATTCCTAGTGAGATTTACGTCAAAAAAATTGTCATAAATGGAACTTGTATTTTGTTTTGATGCTGTAACCTCAGAATGTAAACAAATAGATGAGAAAAATCTAAGAACATCTTCAAGAAATTGAGACTAAAAAATTGGCTTCCAGTAGATAATGTTACTGGAAGTCGAAAACAAGATCTGTTAGTTGTAATTATTAGGCAAAAATGGAAATTTTTGATAACTCTGGAGTTCCCAGTACCAGTTACAACTTCGAGGAGTCTGGAAGAGGATGTAGAGCAAAAAAGAAACAAATAGATCCTGCATGTTGTCCTGTTTGTAGTGTTACTCTTCGGCAGTCGGAGATTCATTCCCATTTATGTACTGAAATAGAAAAACTTGGAAAATTACCCAGCGTAAAACATAGGCTTAATGGCAAAAGTACCCCTTCAAGTTCAAATGGTCATTCTTCAATTGAAAATGGTGACTGCAACAAAAATTGGGAAACATATCAAAAAGTTAAGAACAACAGACAAAACAGACAGCGTACCAAGACACGTAAAAGGAAAATAGAAGAACAGACGTGCCCAATATGTAACAAAGAAGTATCTGAAGATATAACAATTCACGTCGAATTATGTCTTCGAAGAACAGAGCAGAATGGTAGTGATCAAGATGATGAAAACATAGACATAGAAACATTTGAGGAATACGAATGGGCTGGCCAGAGTAGGGTCCGTGCAACCAGTTTAATGCAAGGGGGCCTCTCCAATTTAGGCACCCCAATCCAACTGGCAGAAGAAGATGAAGATTTGAATGTCGATGGTGATGGAGATATATATGGCTCTCCACAGTATTCAGAACAAGATATTATTCTACCTTGTGAGGATGCAGCCGAGAACCAAGCCCTAAGGAAAGCTGTTGTAGGGACATCACCAAACAAACTTAATTTAGAAGAAAAACAGGAAGCCTCAAATTCAGCTAAAAACAAAGGTGATCCAGTCCTAGAGGCCCTTAAAAACCGAATAAGGGATCTAGAGAGCCGATTAGAAAGCAAGAATGATATCTACAAATGTTTAATTTGTATGGAAAGGTACACTACACCAGTGATATCAGTGTGCTGTTGGCATGTTCATTGCGAACAGTGTTGGCTTCAAACACTTGGAGCTAAGAAACTTTGTCCTCAATGTAACATGATTACATCAGCATCTGATCTTAGAAGAATTTATATATGAACTATTTTAAGTGACTCAGAAATTATCTCTGTGTTAATTTTTTTAAAAACTGTCTGTATTGTAAATAACCTCTGTATGTCCTTTATTTAATTTATACACTGTACATATATTAGAATATTATTTTTGATTTTATAAGACTCAGTAAATATTTTTTGCTAAATGAGTGTAGTTTTCTTTAACCATTTTTTTATATAAAATTAAAGGTACAAGGGAAAAAACAAAAAAAAACATGTTTTATACTTCTAATATAATTAATGTTCTGCAGGTATACTAAGTTAAATTGTGCGTTGTGGTTCTTAATTCTACTTAAAAATAAAAAAAATCTAAACACTACTTAAAATTAATATCACAGGTGTCCTTGGCGCAAACATATACATAATAATTACAAATAAATAAATTAGAAAAACACTTATAGAACTAAATAAACAACTAATACACAAGAAAGTGTCAGATAAAAGTAATGTTATTGTGTAATAACATTAGACAGGTACAACCTAATAACATTAATATTTTTTTATATAGCTAGCTGATGCATAGAACATTTGGTTACAATATCGAAATGCCATGCTCTGGATATATAAAAGAATATTTTAAACAAATTTCTGGACATCTTAGCTAATGTCCATATTCTATTTGTTCTTTGAGGCATGACTTTAGGGCATTTAAGAACACTTTTCTTCCATAATCTGAGAACACCTTATATGAATCGCTTTTCGTTAGTTTTTTGAATCTTTCACTGTTTAAAAACAAACAAAAAAATTAATATTTATTATTAAGTTTATATTATATTAAGTTAAATACACTACTACTTACAAGTCTTTCTTGAATTTTTCTGTTTCTTTTATGAAAATGGTGCTCATATCAATAATGTTGCACTTTAACACTGGATCTGTAGCATAGTCAATAATCGCCCTATTGAAAATGTCCATTCTTATTTCAAGTCTTCTGATTTTCGGAAGTTTTGGCGATGGAACTAAAGTTATAAGTGTAATGCGGGTATTTTTTTTCTTCAGTTCGACCACAAGTTGTCTTAAATCAGTTATCATTGTGCTTATATTTTGTCCCTAAAAATAAATATTTTCTTTATAAAGAGCTAGAATTTTTTTAAATAATATTACGTTAATCAAGTCTTGAAAACCGATCATTACTACAACCCTGGGGGCCAGATTTTTTGCTAGTTTCACTCTCTCAGTAAGTCCAGAAATAGTTTGACCAGCCACACATAATCCACATTCTTTTGGCCCTGAAATATATTTTTTTCTCAATTTAATTTTATCCAAAGTATCTAATTGTTGTACCTTTATCTGGAACGTAGTACCCTAATTTGGAATCGGCAATGTCCAAGAAAAAGTCGTCACCAAGGGCCTGATGCTTGTAAAACAAAGGCAGCATTGCTTCCTAAAGGCGAAGAAGTTATGAAATTGTATTAAATGTACAGAGTGCCTCATTTTCGTGTTTTACAGGGTTTCTCGTTTAGGTGTAGAGGTACAAAGATGCGGATTTCACATCACTGTTACTTTTTTATAAAACTACAGATGCTACACATAGTTTTATCCTAGCCTTTTTAGTTCCTAAAACACAGAGTGAATTTGAAATTGTTACATTTTAATAGCAGATAATCGAGATATGAAGTGGGTCGAAAAGTGCAACATTTTAGAATTCGCACTGAATTTTAGGAATTAAGAAGGCTAGGAAAAATCTATATGTAAGATCTTTATAGTGTCGCAAAAAGTAGCACGATGAAAGCCGCATCACACCAATGTTAATGTTACAATTAAAACAAAAATAAAAAAAAACCTCTATAATTAACAGTTTACATCAGCAACTTACAAGTTCTTCAAATTTTTCATATCTTCCTGCGTCGTTCAGGGCAACGTTATTTATGGATGTATGTATGTAAGATCCTTCAGGCAAATTTTGGCATTCTAATCTGTGTTTCATCTGGTACTGCTGTGGCTCGTATTCGTTATTTCCATTGGCGTAATAATTTTTTTTGAAGCAATTTTGTGGCTTGTAGTGCGCCTGTTTTTGCTTGAGAATTAAATCTTTAATGTGCATCGACTTTGGGCTATGCTCGATCAAAATTTCATTGTTGTAACGGTCGGTTACAATATAAATGTGAGGCAAAGTCGTTATCCATGCTCTTAGACTTTTCGCGCCAAAGTTCCTCCAAGGAATGGGAAATCCGCAGTAATTTTGGAATTCTGCTTCCACTCGATCCATCGGCAATCCGTCGTTGCCATATAGGCATATTATAGACACTAAAATATTCGTTATTTGCTGTTCCTCGCAGGAAATTTGTTGGGTTAAAACCATCTTTACAGACACAATTTAAGTATAACTTGACGATCACAAATACACTTCAACTCTGAAACGGTTTTAATATATCTAGCCTTCCTACAAAAAGAATTTCGTTTTTGTCGATTAGAGGACCAAAAAAAAACAGATAAAATTAAGTGGATATGTGAAAGCTATAAAGTCCTGAGAAACGATTTAGAATTAACTTTATTCAATTTTTAAATACAAAATAAAACTATAATAAAAAAATAATACTGATTTTGAAGAGAGATTTAAAAAATATCACATTAATAGAGAGACTAAGATATCTATAAGAGTTTATAATTTTACTTCACAATTAAAAAGTTTATCAACATTATCCAAAAACTACAAAAATACAGATTATTCCATTTAGTATAAATACCAACTTCGTCGGTAGATTGATCCATTAAGACACCTAAATAAATTAAATCCAATACTGTTAATAAAGAAAATATCAATTTTGTTAAAGTACATAAAATACTACTTGGCCTGATTTTGTGATTGCAACTTTTACAAGGATAAATTTTAACACACATATTAAAAGTTTGAGATATATAATCTCTAACTAAAACTTGTAGATACGAAAATATCCCTAAACTAATTAGAACTAGTGAAACTTTAATTTCAAATCCGTGAAAAAGTGAGGATATTAGAAATGTGACAAAAACGGCATAAAACTTCCCTAGTGGTAACCATTTTCTGTAGATATCTGGAAATATATTTTATAACAAAATATGTTGATTGTATGTACTTAAAGTAAACCTAAATATTACATTTTTTAAAAAATGCATGCATGGGCTTATTCCAGTTGATAACCACTATGGATAAAGCTGTGGGAAATTCAATTTGCCATGGATCTGTTACTGAAAGTGTCCATGTTTCAGTATCAAAGTGATAATCATTATCTTTCCAACCAGCTGCTAAGATGAGAGCTTCAGAGAGGTAACATATAAAATAATGACTAGTTCTAAAAGAAAGAGCTTCTTTGTATCCCAATAGCAGCCTACAAAAATGTAGCATTATAATTAATTTTATTTTATTTCTCTTATATTGCTACCTGTTAGAATTATCTGATATTAAATAACTAGCCCAACAGTTAGAAACTGATAAGAAAAATACTGCTAGGAATAGAGCTCTCAGAATAGCCAGTACCCAAAAAATGTTCTAAAAATGAAATTGTTATTTTCATCTCTATTATATTTCAGTGCCTACAAACTTTTCTTGTAGGATATTTCATTTGATACATATAATTTTCATAACTTATCCAAGGTCCAAACAAAATATTCCCATTTGAGAACATGTAACCACAATACTCTGAAAAACTAGGAAAGTCATTCATTCCTTGATCTGTTACAAGAGAAATTAATTTCATTGAAAATACCATCATAATACCCCTAATTTCAAGCCATTCTTCTTTATCCAACAAAATATACTCACTAAAAATATCAAGATCTAAATGATTGAAATACCAAAAATACATGCTATTATCTTACAATAAAACAAAGATTATTATTAGAGAATACTGCACTACAGAAGAACTTGCAATGAAGCCTATTTGTGTATTTCTCTTGATATCTTCTTTTGGTTTTGTTTGATTCAGTCTTTTATGTAAAGTAATCACAACAATTATTATTAAATAAGTTAAGATATATGCTAGATATATAACCATAAGGGTTTTTGTGGACTGTAGAGTGATTACAAGTATATAGACTCCACACATTGCTGATAACCAATGAAATAAAATTTCTGGAAGACCTTAAACCTGATACACTTAATATTAAATTAAATTGGTAGATATTTGTTTACCTAAGGAGGTGATGAGCCCAAAGGCTACATTCACAATTAAACACAGGTACATTGAATTGTAAATGCTTTTTACAGATTCTAGAACACAATTTTCCCATACATCTTGAAATGATTCTTGAAAAATATCTTCAAATTCATTTGTATAATATTGTAGTGATCTGTGAAAAGACATTTGATTTGATCAAAATCAATTAGTAATAATACTTTTAAATAATTTCATACGCACTCATCAGATGTATAAATATCTGGCAGATAGTCAACCATGGCAAGTTTAAAATTAATTTGTTTAAATAATCTTTGTTTATTTGTTTATTATTTCTTTTCGATTGATAAATATAGGTTAGTTGGTTGCATAGCAACGTTGGGAAATGTTTAAGCCACAGACTAATTTTTAAGTTAGACTTTCCTTAAGCCAGAGATATAGAGATAGGGTTCCAGAAATTTTCTATTTACTTATTTAAGGACTTTAGCTTAAGTCTACAGGGTAGATCAATAAGTACTAAATAACTGGGAACTTCTAACTTTCATGGACCAACAAAGGATTCCGCCTTTAACAAGGGACACATTGTATCATGGGAGATGGGAGGGACACCCGGTGTACTTATGTAGCTTTGACTTTTTTACTTTACTTATGTGTAGAACACTCTTTATACTTACTTTTCAAAATTTTGTACTAAGAAATATTTTTTTCAACTACAATATTAATATGAAATTATCACATTTTCAATAAGTATATATATTTTTTTCAATAATAATAATGTCACCTTCAATGTTCTTCTAAAATATAGGTAATAGCTGTTAACAGCTTGTTTGTATTTCTTTTTAGTATCAGTTTCTCAAAGGACCATTTGTGTTTGAAGCTGTCTCTAGCATGGCGCAGCGCTAGGGCGAAGATCTTTAGGACACTGACCATCAGGATTGATGCGCAGAACGAGAATAAACCAGGGTGTGTTATAAAATTATTGCATTTTTCTTATTTTTAACTAATAGCTTTTCTCTATTGTTTCAGGTTAGTTCTAGGCCTAGTTTAGATGTGCGCTTTCGCGAGTGATAGTGAAGATATGGGACCTTCTTTGATGTGCGTTAGTCAAGTCGGAATTATTCGAAAAACATTTTTTGCTGTCGGTCGAGGTCCGTTATGGTTGTTTTCGTTAATTATTTTTTTCAGATATCCCTGGATGTGAGTGGGACTTTAAGGGGACTAACGTTCCCCTTATGAGTCCTCACGAAGCAAGGAAGAAAGTGTAATACCACTCTAAGGGACCCAATGAGTATTTTTACTGAAGAAAAATGTAATAAGAGGAGTAGAATCGACATAGTTAGCTCTTATTGAATTCAGTTAACTGTTTTATACTTGGCAAGAATGCAATTGCTTGGAAATTGTCCCTTTTAAAATGCGACCCTTTCTGTCTTTTTCTAAAATCGTTTCTCTGTCCGACTGTCCCGTCTTTGTAGTCTTTGGATGGGTTGTTGTAGTTAAAAAGTTGTTGGTGCATTTCCGGTGAAACAGGAATTGGCCAAAAACAATTGAATACGTCGATCAATCCTAATTTATGTCATATACTAACATACCAAATCTCGTTTTTTTATCTGAAAAAAATAAGTTATAGGGGTGAGCCACTTTTGAGACGCACCCGGTATAGATAGAGAGAGCACTGTAAAGTCAGAATGTTTCGGTGATTTACATGGATCGATAGTTCGATCATTGCTCGTTAGGTGGCGCGTCATGTATAATATTTGATTTAAATTAATTTTAACTTGATTTATTGGAAATGTGATACCGAAAAAAATTAAGGGAGGATCCATTATCGGAAGAAGCTTGTTCTATATGATGCTATTTTTGATGCGATTAAAAATAATTTGAATTGATGGTGTATGGGGTTGTTCGAGAAACTGTTGGGGTTGATTGAAAAATTGCTGGATATACTGCAAGATGACTCGAAAGATGGAGCTATCGGAGAAAAGCGACAGAAAGTCGCCGGCTTTCCACCGCACAACCGGGTGAGGCTGCGTTATATATTCGTTAAAATGATTTTAGCAAATTCCAAGTGACCTAAAAAAAATCGACACGGGTTCTGAAGCCGTTTTCTGATGTTAGAGGCGGGAATATGGAAGGCGGGCGTCGTTTAAGTTTGTTTCTGAAAATTTTGAAAAGCCGTCATGAATTCTACGCTGTATTACCCGGGTAAGTCTGACAGGAGGGCGGGTAATCTAATATCATTTGGCGCCGTTAGATATTATTCCCATAGTAACCTGTGCGTTAGGGGGAAAAGTTGTCAACAAAGGGCAAAGCACGCGCTTTTGCCAGTCAAATTCGCATTTTAATCGCCACACCACGTACAATACCTTCTCCGCTTTTCTGTTTTTCTCCGATTTCGTCAAAAATTTTTGTGTTTTACTAACATTAGTGGCTAACCACACCCGATTAGAATCAATATTGTTTCAACTATTTGCCTTTGTTTTATTAGCACTTTCTTAAGTTTCAAAAATCAACCATACACTCTATTCTTTTTTCAAGCTTTTTACAAAACAACATTGCTATATAAATTACATGAGTTTTCCATTAGGCAGGTAAAGACAAATATATATTTTCTTATATAAAGCGAAATGTTTTTTTCTGGATGTCATTCACCTTTTAAAAGGTCAATATGTCTGCTAAAAAGTCTTGTTTTCGAACAGTATTTAATCATACCAATAAACGTTTTATATAAAATATTTTTCCTTCATCAACAAGCAAATAAATATTTTATTTTGTTTTTAGTTTGTTATTTTTCATTATATTTTCATGGAAAATAGAACAATATACATACCCAAATGACTGGTTTGTTGCTCATATTTATTATATATGCATGGAATGTAATTACTCTGAATAACACAAACAACCTTATATCAAACGAAATAAATTAATAATTTGGTTGGGTAAATAAAATTGGGGTCGCTCGTGGGATTTTCTATATGCATATAAAATTTTCATATTAGCCGGGAAATATTCAAAAACATATCCAGACAAGCTGTTTTAAATCGTTCCCGGTGTTACTGGTCAATTTATATTCAGTTATGACCTAAATAAACTTGAATAAAATATTAAAAAGTATGGAGTGTAATGCAATACGGAATTTTGGCCTATTACTTCGAAAGGGATAGTTATCGATATATCGAATAACAACAGATGATTTTAAACATAGAAATATATCGATACCTATCAATATATTGTATTGTTACCTACCGGTTATTGATAACTATCTTCTTAAATTAGTCTTAAACAAGCACATATTTTGCACACAGGGCTGGTAGATCCCGATAAATGAAACTTATTTTCTGTTTACCGTTATTCATATAATCTCAAAATAGTGAAGTTATTTTACTTTAAAAATTTAAAAAGAAATAATATTTTCCCCCGCAGCTATATACGTTTGTAGTTTATGCAAAAATGTTGTCGCGCGAGCAAAAAAAAGCCAAGAGAAACATCTTTTCTATTTACCATTTTTCAAATAAATTGAAAATGGCCGAGATATTTAACTTTGAAAACTTAAAAAAATTATGCCAACATTTTGACAACTGCTGGCAAGAATCGGTTATTAGCAGTATATACCTGGATCTCTGCTTCTTCGCCGCCCCCCACATCCCCAAGAAAGTAAGTACATACTTGACTAAAAAACATCTTTCAATATTCCACACCACAAATCTCCAAAGGGCTTATGAAGTGGTTCGTTATTTTTTTAAGAGCATATCAGACAGTATCGCCTGTATAATACTTAAAATAAATTAGAAGAAAGAACTTACCTAGTATTAAAATAGTAGTGGCAAAACTCCAATGGCAGGCTGATATAACAGCCTATACTATACTTAGTGTATACTTCTTTTTCATTTCACCAATCTTTTCCTAATAACACTACACTAAACTTAGTATACTTTACCAATCACACTGCAACTCACTGTGATTGATTCCAATACGGTTCTAGACAACACTACACTCAGGTACATGTACAAGTTTTCATTCTTCTTTCTGATAATCTTCTTTCTCCTCCGGATAATTTTCTTTGGTCCTTTTTTCTGTTTTTTTTTTCAACATTTTTTTTTCGCAAAAAAACCTTATAGGCGTGTTTCTGGGTTCGAACTAGACTACCATTTAAAATACTTGCACTATGACACTCTGTATATATGGTTGGTTATGGCTTTATGTTCCGTTTTTATCGGTTTCCTGAAAGTTTTCTTATTACGGACCACGGTTCCTGAAAAATTCGGTTATAACTGTCACATGACTGTCACCAAACTCAGCGTGAGAAGGCTGGTTTTTCTGGTTTTGTCTGTCAATCAATGTCATTTATGTGAGAGAAATCAAGCAAATATTGGAAGTTCGAGTGAAATTCTCATTTAATTTCTAAAATTTGTTATAATATTTTGTATTTACATCTAAAAGCAATGGAGGTAGGCAGTAACGGTAAATAAATTTCATTAACTAAATAGAATGACTTTTTAGGACCATTTTAACTTATCATGTAGCCATTGTTTCTTAAAGTCAGGAACATTTAAAGAAAACATGAAAAACAAGACAACAAGTAATCGTGAATGTTTTGTAAGCTATAAAAATATAAATATTGATTAGATTTGTTTATTTTTTATTGATCTGTTTTAATATTGGACCTGCAAATCTTCACTTGAGCTGTCAAACGAGTTTAACAGTTTATTAATAAAGTACTTTTCAATATTAAACTCCATTGAAAAGAAGAAGCAAACGTAAAAGCCGAGAATAGGTACATTAAAAATGCATATAAAAGATAAATGTTATAATAAAGATATTGAAATTTAGAAAACGTCAACATTTGACATTTCCAGTATTTTACCAAACCGTTCCGTATCAAACCGATGTTTTTCAGGAACCGTTCTTTACCGTAGTTTACCGGTCTGGTTCGCCTGGTTTTGCAACGGAATACAGCCAAAACCTATTTAACACGTCGCGCGTCGTTCTGGCATCACATTGTAACTTTGTGTATGTAGCTTGCAATGCCACCTTTGGTTGAAAATCTTAATAAAATGGACAAAATGCATGTAGTAAATCTGCTCTTTAGATTGTGTAAATAGTAATATTGTTCTTTGTTCATACGGAATAGATATAGATTACAATCTGCCTTCTGCCTTCTGCCTATAGTTCTTTAATCAAAGACACCATATTTATTACGATTTTTGTTGATTTTGTGCATCCAAAATCTTATTTTTTTACACTTTGTAACACCATAGCCGCAGCCTTACATTCTTTTAAAAATTCTTTGTCACTAGACGAACTGCTTGTATCAAACATCGTTCTCGAGACAATACTCATAACTTTTCTGACTATAATAAAAAATTTATAGGATTTAATAAGCGTGTCATCTTATGAGATGACACGCTATGGCGTGTAACAAATGTGCACAGTGTGTACACCCTTTACGCACGTTGCATTACGTGCGATGGCGTGGATGTCTTAGTTTGTTAATTATGCAAGGCGAATATTTGTTTTGACGGGACTTATTTTAGAAATATGGAGTGGATACTAATGAAACAAACAAATAGTCCAATTTCGACCTGCAATCGGTATCCGAAAAGTTACAGATCTCGCGTGCCCAAACTAATTGTCTATTACATAATTGCTCTTACACTAATTGCTCATATTTCGTAAGCTCAGCTTTCAGCAATATTGCAATTTTTTTCAGCAATCATTAGCTCTTTTCTTGCTATATCGCTAGAACTCGTGTTTTTCATTTATTCTGACCTGTAACCCGATCCCAGACGTTTGGAAATCAATTTTCTTTTTGTATTCATCGCGGTGGAAAAGTTGTTCTGGCAGGAAAATAACGATTTTAGGTCAACTTTTCAGGAAATCGTCTCACTACCGGACATAATTCTCTTTATTCCTTCTTTTAGCGGCTTTGGTTATCGTCAACTTTTATACACTCGCACTATACTTTTTTTTGAGTTGAAGTCAGAAGTCAGATCATAAGAATTGAAACTATAAATTTAATGATATTAAACAAATTATTTTTCCTAGAATTTTTACGTTTTCTAACAACTAGGGATGCGATTTCTTCCGATATATCGATGACTCTATATGTATATCGATAAACCAATAACTATATTTGCAATTTGATAGTCAGATAATTATCGACATATCGATAACTAAAACATATTAATAGTCGAATTGCGTAAACTTATCGATAGTTAAAATTCATTATGGCCCATTTCTAAACCATCCCAATTATACATATTTCAAGGGTAAGGGGAAAAACTGACGATGTCCATTTTATGGAATTTTTAAGTAACAAATTTAATTTTTTGAGTAAGTCCCAAACATATATCAAATTGTAACTGAATAAAACAAGCGTATTCAAACAATTTTCTTCGTAAGTCGGTTTTGTGATATCGTAGGTTTTTTCTCCTTATCCCATTCACTTTAGACCCAATATTCCATATTTTTGTGCGAATTATAACAAATATCAATGATACTCTTTACGACTGCATAAAAAAATTGTTAGTCTTAAAGGTCTTTTTTTGGCCTGTTATACGCGCTTAGGCTTTTATTATAATATAATAGAACGCCAACAGTCGTTAAAATATGAGTGGAAAACAAGGCATATAGTGTTATAGGGGTGTTATTAAAATTTAAGTAGTTATTTATAGACGACATTGATAGTGTTGTTGACCAGTTAAATTTATGAGAAGTCTCATCATGATCTAAGTAGAGTTTTTTTCTTTATAACTAAGTTAAGTTAATATGTGTCTTTAGTTTTTTGATAAAATCCTGTAGTACAGCCTGTAGTCTGTAGAAGCTATCTCGTTTGATTTATCCGTTTTGTCATGAAATTCCCTGTCGTATTATTGTTATGTCATTTACTCACGAATCCTTTAGATTAGGATATCCTATCTCTTATGTCAAAGATAAATTGCTGATCCTGACAAGGAATCGACTATCGGAGGTAACATATTGAGTGAAAAGGGATTTCGCATCTTTAAATTGGGGATATAGTTGAGGGAACTGACGTATTTTTATTTTAAAAATGATCCGGGACAGCTAGAATATATAATTAAATATGAAAATCATATGGACTGACGACAAATTCAAAAATATCCATATTCCTCCATCAAAATAGAATTTGAATTGATTCATAAATATAGAAATATTCAACTATAAGTATTCTAGATAGGTTTACA